AACATGTTTGAGCCTCAAACTTGTCTATGCGATTAAGTTTGAGCCTCAAACTTGTCTATGCTAACATGTTTGAGCCTCAAACTTGTCTATGCGATTAAGTTTGAGCCTCAAACTTGTCTATGCGATTAAGTTTGAGCCTCAAACTTGTCTATGCGATTAAGTTTGAGTCTCAAACTTATCTATGCGAAGATGTTTCAGCTTAAAACTAGTTTGAGCCTCAAACTTTTCTATGGGTACAAATTTGAGACTCGAACTTTTCTTTGCGAACAAATTTGAGATTTAAACTTGTCTATGCGAACTTTCAGCTCAACTCCATCTCTCACTTTTAACGCTTCAATTAAAACAGTTGTTTAATCTCTCTGCAGTTACCAACCAATAGACCCCACTAATATTTATTCGTTATGTCATTTTTTCTGCAAACTACCAACAAATTGCACCAAATGTATTAAAATCGTTTGCACATTTTTTTTATTGTTATTGTTTGTGCAATGCTGACGCATTTCCCCCCCAAAAAAAGTTACGAAAATAAATGTTTGATAAGATAATTTTGTTTTATTGGATTGAAGATCACCGACACTAGAGCAGCGTTATCAGTAAATAAATTATTTTCAATGTCATTTTGCAAGGACTATTGGAAATGAAAATTTCCCTTAACAAAATATGAGGATAATCTAAAACACAAAATTTTGGAATTTTAAAATTTTTAGAAAAATTTTATGAACTATTTCCTTTGAAAATTTGAAAATAATACATTTTTAAATTGCATCTTTGCTCTTCTTTGTTGTTGATGTCTCAGAAATCATCACACATCTTCAGGTTGATTGAACTTCTCCAGAACCCTTTCCGTCTGCTGATAAACCGAACATCAATCATAATGACTAAGTTCTCCTCAACGTTTATTGCCATTTTAGTGCAGTGTCAGTTATCATGCAGTCATTCGTGCAGAACTTGCAGTTTGCACAGCAAGAATCGGATGAGAGACGGTAACACTGGCGACGCCGGTTAAGCGTTCAACCTGATAAGCCTGCAATGTGTGTTTTTTGGTGTTTGCATTTAACTTTGTTGAAGATTGATTTGATGTTTCGCAGTCAGTTAGTGGCCAACAGTTAAATTCGAAACACCTACTTAACCCCCTTAAAACTACAACATCACAGTGTTAAAAAAAATTGAAATAGATATAGTGTCAAGAATTCATCTGGTAATAAGGTGCGGAATCCATCTTCTTGAAAATGTAACATATTTACATTTGCGTTTTTTTTTTCTTTCCTCTGTTTGATTTGTAATCGTGCCGATACTTAGTGTAATGAAAGTGAAACTTTTTACTTTTCGCAGCAAAAACAAATACAATTCTTATTGCATTTGTGGTTAGCCCCGGCGCCCTCATCGGTAAACAACGAGCGAACGAACGCACATACAAACACACAAATGCAAGGTTTTGCAATTATTGCTCAGAATAAAGTAAACATTGAAAATAAAATTATCAGAAGCGTTTACGCCCCAGTTGTAAAGCACACACTTCAAAATTCCAATCAACAACATGGATTGAATTATTTTTTGGAAGAATTTAAAAAAAATTGCACAGGAAGTAGATTTTGGAATTTCTTATCGAACAGTGCGATATCGCATTTGAGCCTTTTAGAAAAAAGAATTTGGCATCAAACCTTCTTCTCTAAATAAGTTGGGCCTCAAACCTTCTTCTCTAGAAGAGTTTGAGGTTCAAATCTTCTTCTCGAGAAGAGTTTGATGCTCAAACCTTCTTCTCCAGAAGAGTTGAAGGCTCAAACCTTCTTCTCCAGAAGAGTTTGAGGCTTAAACCTTCTTCTCCAGAAGAGTTTGAGCCTTAAACCTTCTTCTCCAGAAGAGTTTGAAGCTTAAACCTTCTTCTCCAGAAGAGTTTGAGACTCAAACCATCTTCTCCAGAAGAGTTTGAGGCTCAAAACTTTATCCATAGAAGTGTTTGAGCCTCAAACCTTCTTCCATAGAAGAGTTTGAGCATCAAACCTTCTCCCATAGAAGAGTTTGTGGCTCAAACCTTCTCCCATAGAAGAGTTTGAGGCTCAAACCTTCTCCCATAGAAGAGTTTGAGGCTCAAACCTTCTTCTCTAGAAGAGTTTGAGCCTCAAAGCTTCTTCTCTAGAAGAGTTTTGAGCCTCAAACCTTCTTCTCTAGAAGAGTTTGAGCCTCAAACCTTCTTCCATAGAAGAGTTTGAGCCTCCAACCTTCTTCATAGAAGAGTTTGAGCCTCAAACCTTCTTCCATAGAAGATTTTGAGCCTCAAACCTTCTTCCATAGAAGCTTTTGAGCCTCAAACCTTCGTCCATAGAAGAGTTGAGCCTCAACCTTCTTCCATAGAAGAGTTTGAGCCTCAAACACTTCTTCCATAGAAGAGTTTGAGCCTCAACCTTCTTCCATAGAAGAGTTCGAGCCTCAAACCATCTCCCCTAAAGAGTTTGACCTTAAACCCTCTTCCTTCTTCTCTAAGAAGAATTGAGGCTCAAACCTCCTTCTCTAGAAGAATTGAGGCTCAAACCTCCTTTTCTAGAAGAGTTCAAGGCTCAAAACTTCTTCCCTAGAAGATTTTGAACCTCGAACCTTCTTCCATAGAAGAGTTTGAACCTAAAACCTTCTTCCATAGAAGAGTTGGAACCTCAAACCTTCTTCCATAGAAGAGTTTGAACTTCAATCCTTCTTCCAAAGAAGAGTTTGAACCTCAATCCTTCTTCCATAGAAGAGTTTGAACCTCATCTCTTCCATAGAAAAGTTGAGGCTCAAACCTGCTTCCATAGAAGAGTTTGAGCCTCAAACCTTACTCCAAAGAAAAGTTTGAGCCTCAAACCTCTTCCTCTAGAAGAGTTTGAGCTCAAACCTTTTCTCCAGAATAGTTTGAGCCTCAAACTGTTCTTCATAGAATAGTTTTAAGCCTCAAACTTGTCTTCATAGAATAGTTTGAGCCTTAAACTTGTCTTCATAGAATAGTTTGAGCCTCAAACTTGTCTTCATAGAATAGTTTGAGCCTCAAACTTGTCTTCATAGAATAGTTTGAGCCTTAAACTTGTCTCATAGAATAGTTTGAGCCTAAACTTGTCTTCATAGAATAGTTTTGAGCCTCAAACTTGTCTTCATAGAAGAGTTTGAGCCTCAAACCTTACTCCAAAGAAAAGTTTGAGCCTCAAACCTTCTTCTCTAGAAGAGTTTGAGCCTTAAACCCTCTTCCTTCTTCTCTAGAAGAATTTGAGGCTCAAACCTCCTTCTCTAGAAGAATTTGAGGCTCAAACCTCCTTTTCTAGAAGAGTTCAAGGCTCAAAACTTCTTCCCTAGAAGATTTTGAACCTCGAACCTTCTTCCATAGAAGAGTTTGAACCTAAAACCTTCTTCCATAGAAGAGTTGGAACCTCAAACCTTCTTCCATAGAAGAGTTTGAACTTCAATCCTTCTTCCAAAGAAGAGTTTGAACCTCAATCCTTCTTCCATAGAAGAGTTTGAACCTCAATCCTTCTCCATAGAAAAGTTTGAGGCTCAAACCTGCTTCCATAGAAGAGTTTGAGCCTCAAACCTTACTCCAAAGAAAAGTTTGAGCCTCAACCTTCTTCTCTAGAAGAGTTTGAAGCTCAAACCTTTTTTCTCAGAATAGTTTGAGCCTCAAACTGTCTTCATAGATAGTTTAAGCCTCAAACTTGTCTTCATAGAATAGTTTGAGCCTTAAACTTGTCTTCATAGAATAGTTTGAGCCTCAAACTTGTCTTCATAGAATAGTTTGAGCCTCAAACTTGTCTTCATAGAATAGTTTGAGCCTTAAACTTGTCTTCATAGAATAGTTTGAGCCTCAAACTTGTCTCATAGAATAGTTTGAGCCTCAAACTTGTCTTCATAGAAGAGTTTGAGCCTCAAACCTTACTCCAAAGAAAAGTTTGAGCCTCAAACCTTCTTCTCTAGAAGAGTTTGAGCCTCAAACCTTCTTCCCTAGAAGAGTTTGAGGCTCAATCCTTCTTCCTCCAGAATAGTTTGAAGATCAAACCTTCTTCTCCAGAATAGTTGAAGCTCAAAACCTTTTTCTCCAGAATAGTTTGAGACTCAAACCTTGTCTTCATAGAATAGTTAAGCCTCAAACTTGCTTCATAGAATGTTTGAGCCTTAAACTTGTCTTCATAGAATAGTTTGAGCCTCAAACTTGTCTTCATAGAATAGTTGAGCCTCAACTTGTCTTCATAGAATAGTTTGAGCCTCAAACTTATCTTCATAGAAATGTTGAGGCTCAAACTTATCTTCATAGAAATGTTTGAGGCTCAAACATATCTTCATAGAAATGTTTGAGACTCAAACTTATCTTCATAGAAATGTTTGAGGCTCAAACTTATCTTCATAGAAATGTTTGAGGCTCAAACTTATCTTCATAGAAATGTTTGAGGCTCAAACTTATCTTCATAGAAATGTTTGAGGCTCAAACTTAGCTTCATAGAAAGTTTGAGCCTCAAACTATCTTCATAGAAAATGTTTTGAGGCTCAAACTTATCTTCATAGAAATGTTTGATGCTCAAACTTATCTTCATAGAATTGTTTGAGGCTCAAACTTATCTTCATAGAAATGTTTTGAGCCTCAAACTTATCTTCATAGAAATGTTTGAGCCTCAAACCTTCCGCCATAGAAGAGTTTGAGCTTCAACACCTACTGCATAGAATAGTTTGAGCCTTCAAACCTTCCGCCATAGAATAGTTTGGAGCTTCAAACCTTCCGCCATAGAATAGTTTGAGCTTCAAACCTTCCGCCATAGAATAGTTTGAGCTTCAAACCTTCCGCCATAGAATAGTTTGAGCTTCAAACCTTCTTCCAGAGAAGAGTTGAGCCTTAAACCTACCAGTTTGAGCAAAAAACTCTTTTCTTATACAAGTTCGAACCTAAATTTTTTCACTGAAATGTAAGAGCCCGAACTCTTTAAAAATAATAGGGCTTTCTATATTTCTTATATTCAATCGTTTAACATTTCGTTTCCCCCTCTTCACAGATACTGCCGTAATCAACAAATCTACCTCAAAACTCGCGTTCGATTACAATAAAATTAAAATCTTAAATAACAACAACAAAAGCATGTTCTAAACTCTAGGAACATGGATTTCAAATCAATATAGAAAATCGCAAAACAAAACTTAGGGAACAACACACTGCAACCAATCACATCAACATAGAAGAGTTTGAGCCTCAAACCTTACTCCAAAGAAAAGTTTGAGCCTCAAACCTTCTTCTCTAGAAGAGTTTGAGCCTTAAACCCTCTTCCTTCTTCTCTAGAAGAATTTGAGGCTCAAACCTCCTTCTCTAGAAGAATTTGAGGCTCAAACCTCCTTTTCTAGAAGAGTCAAGGCTCAAAACTTCTTCCCTAGAAGATTTTGAACCTCGAACCTTCTTCCATAGAAGAGTTTGACCTAAAACCTTCTTCCATAGAAGAGTTGGAACCTCAACCTTCTCCATAGAAGAGTTTGAACTTCAATCCTTCTTCCAAAGAAGGTTTGAACCTCAATCCTTCTTCCATAGAAGAGTTTGAACCTCAATCCTTCTTCCATAGAAAAGTTTGAGGCTCAAACCTGCTTCCATAGAAGAGTTTGAGCCTCAAACCTTACTCCAAAGAAAAGTTTGAGCCTCAAACCTTCTTCTCTAGAAGAGTTTGAAGCTCAAACCTTTTTCTCCAGAATAGTTTGAGCCTCAAACTTGTCTTCATAGAATAGTTTAAGCCTCAAACTTGTCTTCATAGAATAGTTTGAGCCTTAAACTTGTCTTCATAGAATAGTTTGAGCCTCAAACTTGTCTTCATAGAATAGTTTGAGCCTCAAACTTGTCTTCATAGAATAGTTTGAGCCTTAAACTTGTCTTCATAGAATAGTTTGAGCCTCAAACTTGTCTTCATAGAATAGTTTGAGCCTCAAACTTGTCTTCATAGAAGAGTTTGAGCCTCAAACCTTACTCCAAAGAAAAGTTTGAGCCTCAAACCTTCTTCTCTAGAAGAGTTTGAGCCTCAAACCTTCTTCCCTAGAAGAGTTTGAGGCTCAATCCTTCTTCTCCAGAATAGTTTGAAGATCAAACCTTCTTCTCCAGAATAGTTTGAAGCTCAAACCTTTTTCTCCAGAATAGTTTGAGACTCAAACTTGTCTTCATAGAATAGTTTAAGCCTCAAACTTGTCTTCATAGAATAGTTTGAGCCTTAAACTTGTCTTCATAGAATAGTTTGAGCCTCAAACTTGTCTTCATAGAATAGTTTGAGCCTCAAACTTGTCTTCATAGAATAGTTTGAGCCTCAAACTTATCTTCATAGAAATGTTTGAGGCTCAAACTTATCTTCATAGAAATGTTTGAGGCTCAAACATATCTTCATAGAAATGTTTGAGACTCAAACTTATCTTCATAGAAATGTTTGAGGCTCAAACTATCTTCATAGAAATGTTTGAGGCTCAAACTTATCTTCATAGAAATGTTTGAGGCTCAAACTTATCTTCATAGAAATGTTTGAGGCTCAAACTTATCTTCATAGAAAAGTTTGAGCCTCAAACTTATCTTCATATAAAATGTTTGAGGCTCAAACTTATCTTCATAGAAATGTTTGATGCTCAAACTTATCTTCATAGAATGGTTTGAGGCTCAAACTTATCTTCATAGAAATGTTTGAGCCTCAAACTTATCTTCATAGAAATGTTTGAGCCTCAAACCTTCCGCCATAGAAGAGTTTGAGCTTCAAACCTACTGCCATAGAATAGTTTGAGCTTCAAACCTTCCGCCATAGAATAGTTTGAGCTTCAAACCTTCCGCCATAGAATAGTTTGAGCTTCAAACCTTCCGCCATAGAATAGTTTGAGCTTCAAACCTTCCGCCATAGAATAGTTTGAGCTTCAAACCTTCTTCCAGAGAAGAGTTTGAGCCTTAAACCTACCAGTTTGAGCAAAAAACTCTTTTCTATATACAAGTTCGAACCTAAATTTTTTCACTGAAATGTAAGAGCCCGAACTCTTTAAAAAATAATAGGGCTTTCTATATTTCTTATATTCAATCGTTTAACATTTCGTTTCCCCCTCTTCACAGATACTGCCGTAATCAACAAATCTACCTCAAAACTCGCGTTCGATTACAATAAAATTAAAATCTTAAATAACAACAACAAAAGCATGTTCTAAACTCTAGGAACATGGATTTCAAATCAATATAGAAAATCGCAAAACAAAACTTAGGGAACAACACACTGCAACCAATCACATCAACAACAACAGCAACGCCAACAACAAAAACACAGCTCATGGTCTCATCGATAAGTCGAAATTCTCTGAAACATTTCCTCAAATCGAACCTTAAACAACTGCAATGAATTCAGACGGTTTTAGTGATGTTGTTGTCAACAATGCAACAACAAATCATCTGAACGGTAATAACGGGAATCTCAAATCACAAGCTTTAAGTAATGGTCATGAAAATGGTTATAGCTCGAATGCACATGAATCAGGTGCCGGCGATGACAAATCACCCGTCCATATGGTAAATGGCCAAAGGCGGGATTCCAATCAGGCCTGGACTCCGCTCTTGCAGAATGGCAGCAACAATAAACAGACAACAAGCAACGATGATAACCTCTCTCTGGACGGTGGTTTGGGTGAGGCGAATTCGGATATTTATGCCGGGACAGGTAGCAATAACAATGAAGAACTGAAGAATCTAAAGAATGAAATGATGCACCACTCACCGCTGCAGTCGAACAACAACGGATCGCTGGTGAACGGCAAAAATGGTATAGGCCACACAGACAAGTATGACGAACTTGATCCTCTGACGGGCCTGTACAAGCAGAAACATGAAAGCGAAGACCTAGATCTGGATTCGCTCAAGGCCAACGGGGAGGGATGTGGCCTCTTCGGCTTTAGACCCAGATGGGCCAGCAAATTGGCCTCCACCCATGTCTTTATGGTGGTGTTTCTAGTCGCCTATGTCCTGCAGGGTATGTACATGACCTATTTTGTATCGGTCATCACTACCATCGAGAAGCTGTTTCAGATCAAGTCAAAGACTACGGGTTTTCTACTGAGTGCCAGTGAAATGGGTCAAATCAGTACGGCCATGTTGCTGACATATTTTGCCGGGCGAGGTCATCGACCACGTTGGATTGCCTGTGGCATGGTTCTCTTTTCGATAGCAGCATTCTCCTGTGCCCTGCCACATTTCATATTTGGTAAAGATCTCCTACAGACCACGGCCATGTCGTTCAATAAAATCGCCAAGATCCCATGGAGGATCTGGCGGCAAGCAATTTGGCTGGCGAATTAACGTGGGGCGTGAACAATGAATCTAGCAGTGTTACCCTCTCTCAGTTGGGTACTCAACATTTGGATTTGAATCTCTGTGTTTTGGGCAATCACACACAAAACTCCACCACGGGTAAGTGTAGGAACCTGTCTCCTTTTGTTCAAGGACCTACCTCATAATCTCATTTTTTATTACAGAATGCAATGAAGATCGCAAAATCGAACAAGCATCTCACTCTAAAATAACCGTCATCGTTCTATGCATCTTCTTCGGCAGCTTGCTTAGCTCGGGTATTGGTCAAACAGCCGTCTCCACTTTGGGCATACCCTACATCGATGACAATGTGGCCAGCAAACAATCACCCATGTACATGGCCATCACAATTGGTGTTAGGATTTTGGGTCCTGCTTCGGGTTTCATTGTTGGCTCATTCTGTACCCGTTGGTATGTGAATTTTTCAAATCCTGGTTTCGATGCTAGTGATCCACGTTGGATTGGTGCCTGGTGGTTGGGTCCAGTGGGTATTGGTACTTTGATGTTGCTTTCATCGATTGCCATGTTTTCATTTCCACGTGAATTAAGAGGCAAGAAACCACCGCCAGCAGCTCCCAGTGCCGTAGAGGGTGAAAAGGTGGCTGAAACACCAGCGGAACCTGAAGAGAAACCAAGATTGAAAGGTATGTTATGCATTTTAATTGAAAGAAAAACATTTTTGAGGAAAAGTTTGAGTCTCGAACTTATCTTCATAGAAAAGTCTGAGGCTCCAACTAATCTTTATAGAAAAGATTGAGGCTCAAACCCATCTTCATAGAAAAGTTTGAGGCTCAAACCTATCTTCATAGAAAAGTTTGACGCTTAAACCTACCTTCATAGAAAAGTTTGAGGCTCAAACCTAACTTCATAGCAAAGTTTGAGGCTCAAACCTTTTTTCATAGAAAACTTTGAGGCTCAAACCTATTTTCATAGAAAAGTTTGAGTCTCAAACCTATCTTTATAGAAAATTTTGAGCCTCAAAATTAGCCGTATAGAAAAGTTTGAGCCTCAAACTTATCCGTATAGAAAGTTTAAGCCTCAAACTTCTCTATACAGATAAGTTGAGGCCCAAACTTCTCTATACAGATAAGTTTGAGGCCCAAACTTCTCTATAGAGATAAGTTTGAGACCCAAACTTCTCTATGAAGATATGTTTGGGCGTTCAAAACTTTGCTGTGAAGTTAGGTTTGAGCCTCAAACTTTTCTATAAAGTTAGGTTTGAGCCTCAAACTTGTCGTCATAGAAAAGCTTGAGGCTCAAACCTATCTTCATAGAAAAGTTTGAGGCTCAAACCTATCTTCATAGAAAAGTTTGGGGCTCATACCTATCTTCATAGAAAAGTTTGAGGCTCAAACCTATCTTCATAGAAAAGTTTGAGGCTCATACCTATCTTCATAGAAAAGTTTGAGGCTCAAACCTATCTTCATAGAAAAGTTTGAGCCTCGAACTTATCCTTATAGAAAAGTTTTGGGCCTCAAACTTATCTTTTTAGGAAAGTTGGAACCTCAAACTTGTCTTCAAAGAAAAGTTTGATAATCAAGCCTATCTTCAAAGAAAAGTTTGATACTCAAGCCTATCTTCTTAGAAAAGTTAAGGCTCAACCTATCTTCATAGAAAGTTTGAGGCTCAAACCTATCTTCATAGAAAAGTTTGAGGCTCAAACCTATCTTCATAGAAAAATTGAGGCCAAACCTATCTTCATAGGCTCAACAAGTTTTTATAGAACTGAGATTCTCTAAAATTATTGTCAAACTCTCTTATTCAAAATATTTGAGACCCAAACTTCTCTATAGAGATAAGTTTGAGACCCAAACTTCTCTATGAAGATAGGTTTGAGCGTCAAACTTTGCTGTGAAGTTAGGTTTGAGCCTCAAACTTTTCTATAAAGTTAGGTTTGAGCCTCAAACTTGTCGTCATAGAAAAGCTTGAGGCTCAAACCTATCTTCATAGAAAAGTTTGAGGCTCAAACCTATCTTCATAGAAAGTTTGGGGCTCATACCTATCTTCATAGAAAAGTTTGAGGCTCATACCTATCTTCATAGAAAAGTTTGAGGCTCAAACCTATCTTCATAGAAAAGTTTGAGCCTCGAACTTATCCTTATAGAAAAGTTTGGGCCTCAAACTTATCTTTTTAGGAAAGTTGGAACCTCAAACTTGTCTTCAAAGAAAAGTTTGATAATCAAGCTATCTTCAAAGAAAAGTTTGATACTCAAGCCTATCTTCTTAGAAAAGTTAAGGCTCAAACCTATCTTCATAGAAAAGTTGAGGCTCAAACCTATCTTCATAGAAAGTTGAGGCTCAAACCTATCTTCATAGAAAAATTTGAGGCCAAACCTATCTTCATAGGCTCAAACAAGTTTTTATAGAACTGAGATTCTCTAAAATTATTGGTCAAACTCTCTTATTCAAAATATTTGAGACCCAAACTTCTCTATAGAGATAAGTTTGAGACCCAAACTTCTCTATGAAGATAGGTTTGAGCGTCAAACTTTGCTATGAAGTTAGGTTTGAGCCTCAAACTTGTCGTCATAGAAAAGCTTGAGGCTCAAACCTATCTTCATAGAAAAGTTTGAGGCTCAAACCTATCTTCATAGAAAAGTTTGAGGCTCATACCTATCTTCATAGAAAAGTTTGAGGCTCAAACCTATCTTCATAGAAAAGTTTGAGGCTCAAACCTATCTTCATAGAAAAGTTTGAGCCTCAAACTTATCCTTATAGAAAAGTTTGAGCCTCAAACTTATCCTTATAGAAAAGCTTGAGCCTCGAACTTATCCTTATAGAAAAGTTTGGGCCTCAAACTTATCTTTTTAGGAAAGTTTGAGGCTCAAACTTCTCTATACAGATAAGTTTGATACTCAAGCCTATCTTCAAAGAAAATTTTGATACTCAAGCCTATCTTCATAGAAAAGTTTGAACCTCAAACTTATCCGTATACAAAAGTTTGAGCTTCAAACTTATCGGTATACAAAAGTTTGAGCCTCAGACTTATCGGTATAGAAATGTTTGAGCCTCAAAACTCATCGGTATAGAAATGTTTGAGCCTCAAACTCATCGGTATAGAAATGTTTGAGCCTCAAACTTATCGGTATAGAAATGTTTGAGCCTCAAACTTATCGGTATAGAAATGTTTGAGCCTCAAACTTATCTGTATGGAAAAGTTTGAGCCTCGAACTTATTCGTATAGAAAAGTTTGAGCCTGGATCTTATTCGTATAGAAAAGTTTGAGAACTTATTTTCATAGAATAGTTTGAGCCTCAATCTTGTCTTCATAGAAAAGTTTGAGCCTCAAACTTGCCTTAATAGAAAAGTTTGAGCCTCAAACTTGCCTTAATAGAAAAGTTTGAGCCTCAAGCTTGTTTTCATTGAAAAGTTTGAGCCTCAAGCTTGTTTTCATTGAAAAGTTTGAGCCTCAAACTCATCGGTATAGAAAAGTTTGAGCCTCAAACTCATCGGTATAGAAAAGTTTGAGCCTCAAACTCATCGGTATAGAAAAGTTTGAGCCTCAAACTCATCGGTATAGAAAAGGTTGAGCCTCAAACTTATCGGTATGGAAAAGTTTGAGCCTCAAACTTATCGGTATGGAAAAGTTTGAGCCTCAAACTTGTCTTCAAAGAAACGTTTTATACTCAAGCCTATCTTCATAGAAAAGTTTGAGGCTTTAACTTGTTGTTATAGAACTGAGATTCTGTAAAATTATGGTCAAACTCTCTTATTCAAAATATTTTAAGTAGTTATTCGAGACATTATTTATTTTTCATTTTCAGATTTCCCCAAAACGGTCAGGCGTCAATTGAGCAACGATATCTTGATGTTCCGTACTGCATCTTGTGTATTCCATTTGCTGCCCATTGCTGGTCTCTACACTTTTCTGCCAAAATATTTGGAAACACAATTCCGTTTGGCTCCCTATGATGCCAATATGATTGCTGCCTTTTGTGGCATTTTGGTTATGGGTATTGGTATTGTTATATCGGGTTTGGTTATTCTAAAATTGAAACCCACTGCAAGATCGGTGGCCGCCTGGATAGCCTTAACAGCTTTGGTCTACTCGGCCGGGATGGTCATCTTAATGTTTGTCGGCTGTAATATGAATGATTTTGCCGGTTATAAGACGGCCAATAGCATTGGGTAAGTATGGGGTGGGAATGTGGTGGAAAGTTATGTTGTATTAAAATATTAAACGTGTATTTTTAGACCCGCCACAATTGAGCCAGCCTGCAGTGCTGCCAATCTCTGTTCATGTGACAAGGAACAATTTGCCCCAATTTGTGGCATTGATGGAAAAATTTACATATCTCCCTGCCATGCTGGCTGTTCCACGGCCAGTATGCGTAGCAGTGATAATCATACGGTATTTTCGAACTGTACATGCATTCCAGATGGTGAGTTTGCGAGATAAACAATACTCCATGTTAGAGTTAAAATTTAACATTTCATTCTCTTTCCAGTTACTGAAGCTTTTGGTACCACCCTACCCACCTTTGAGGCTAGCAGTGGCTATTGTGATAGTAATTGCAAAAATTTCATTATTTTCATAATCATTTTTGCCGTTTGCGTTTTTATGCACTCCACATCGGAGGTGGGCAGCATGTTGTTGGTCATGCGTTGCACCCATCCAAAGGGTAGGCAAAATGATATACATTTTTTTATTGTTTTGAAAATGATTTGATTTTATTTTTTCATACATTTTCAGATAAAGCCATGGCCATGGGTGTCATACAATCGGCCATTGGTCTATTTGGCAATGTTCCTTGTCCAATTATATACGGAGCTGTGGTGGATTCAGCATGTCTCGTATGGAAATCAGTTTGTGGCAAACATGGAGCATGCTCATTATATGATGCCGATACATTTAGGCATTACTTTTTAGGTGAGTATTAGGGGTGAATATCCCACAATTAGGCTTTAAAAATTCAAATTAATTAGTCAGCCTATCCTTTGAAAAATAGGTGTTAAAATCCACTTTAGTTGGCCAAACAGTAGTTGAGGTGATAAGATTTAAAAAATCCAACTTAAATGGCCAATGGTTAAAAAAAAATTACTTTAAAAATCCACGTTAAGTGGCCAGATAGTAGTTAAAAAAGAAACCTTAAAAATCCAAATAAAATGGCAGGGCAATCCTTGAAAAAATACGCTTTAAAAATTTGGGATAAATGGCCAGACATTCTTTAAAAAAATAGGAATTAAAAATCTAGGTTAAATGGACATGCAATAGCTGAAAAATTAGATTTAAAAAATCAATTTTAAATTACCAGTCAGTGGTCGAAAAAAATTAGTTTAAAACTCCTCGTTAAATGGTCAGAGAGAAGATGAAAAAATAAGAATTAAAAATCCTTTTATATGGCAGTTGAAAAATAAAAATAAAAAAATTCAAGTTAAATAGCAAAACAGTCCTTCAAAGGCTGTTCTTTGAAGAATAAGTCTTGAAATCCACGTTAGTTAGCTAAACATTAGTTTAAATTATAAGATTTAAAAATCCAATTTAAATGGCCAGATGGTAGTTGAAAAACAATACCTAATATCCACGTCTAATGGTCAGATGTTTGTTGAAAAAACAACTTTTAAAAATCCAAATTAAATGTCCAGAAAATAACTGAAAAAAATTACCTTTGAAATTCCATTATAAATGGCCAGTCAGTAGTTGAAAAAATTTACTTTAAAAGATCTTTGTTAAATTGGCCAGACAGTAGTTGAAAAAATAACATTTAAAAATCCTGTTTAAATGGGAAGACAGTCCTTGAATAAATGGCTTTTAAAATCCATTTCATGCATTACAGATGGTGAGCTTGGGAAATATTTAAAATCCCACGTTTACTGGCCAGACAGTAGTCAAATAAATTAAAATTCCACATTTAATGGCCAGAGAGTAGTTAAAAAAATAATTTCAAACAAACACGGTTAAATGGCCAGACAGACCTTGAAAAAATTATTTTTAAATAAGCGTTTATTGGCCAGAGAGTCCCTGAAAAAATAGACTTTAAAAACTGTCCTAAATAACATTGTGCGACAAAATTCAATTTTTTAAAAATTACGGGGAAAGGCCAGCGAATTATTAAAGACTAGCTTAAAATGGAAAACGCGTGTATTTGGCGTTTTGAAATTTTACATTGCAAAAAAAAACCAAAATAGAGGGGGAAAGTTCCTCCCTCTTTTCTAGAATTTTCGTATTTAGATAAAAAAAAGTGCCATAATTTTTTACATTTTTTTAAAAATATTTATTGAATGAAAGCAAAAAATGTCGGAAATAGCATCAAATTTTAGAATAACTTTAGATTTGTTCGAATTGGTCACCTTTGGCACGAATTTGATGGCCTTCAAACAGCCAATGAAACCGTCACACACTGCCCGAATATTGCTCTGTGGTATTTCGACCCATTCCCGGCGAAGTGCTTGCTTGAGATGATCGACACTTTGGTATTTTTTAGTGACAACCTTGCTTTCCAAAATAATCCAGACACAATAGTCCAAGGGATTAGTATCCGGAGATTTTGGTGGCCATTGTGCGCTGGAAATGAAGCGTGGAACTTCATTTTGTAACCATATTCTTGGGTGCGCGTGTAGAGTGCGATGGTGCTGAGTCCTGTTGGAATGTCCAAGGTCTGTGGCCAAAATATTTGCATGCCCAAGGCTTTAATACACCCTCCAGAATATTTTCGCGATAATATTCGGCTTTTATTCTGATGCCACGGTCGATTAATACGATCGGAGAGCGACCATCGGCTGTTATGGCGGCCCACACCATCACCATGGCCGGCCTAGACAAACCTACCCTGGTTTTTGACGCAATTACGTTCAGAATGGTGTAGTCGTCTCAATTCGTATTCAGCATGAATTGATGAAGATGTGCGTGACGCCTGTCTGGCGTGTTATACAGGCCCGCACAATACGCTACACCTCTTTAATTTCACAACCAAACCTACCCAACTCACTCCAGAAGATCTCTGGCTACAGGCCATCAAAGTAGTCGAATTTCTAAACCTGGAGCTGGAACCTGATTAGCAGAAGGCAAACACTTGCAAGTACTACTGCTACAACAACAACAACCATGGTCGGCGCTTGAGTTCTGTTGGCCAACCGAAGGTGCACATTTTCGTCTGACCTCTTTGGCAAGTTAACACGATCCACGATCATTTTGTTTGTTTACAAACTGCTGGACAATGAATGTTTTCTCATCGGAGACGGAGAAAACCAAATCGGCAGTTTACCACTTTCGTTCGGCCAAGCGAAGCAACTCTTTAGCTCTTTTGGGTCTGTTTTCTTTCCGTTGCGGTGTAAGTTCTTGCACTTTTTGGAATTTCAATGGCTTTAACCCGAGCTCATTTTTTATATTTGCCGAATGGAATATTGCGATATGTTCAGCTCACGAGCCTTTTTTCGGCCACTGCGACAAGTTTTCGATCAAGTCGCTTCTTTACTTTTCGAACAATTTCTGCTGTTTTCTTCCGTTCACTTCCTTAACGTCGGCCTACGCTACCAGTATCACGGTAACGAGCGATGATACGAGACACAAATATTTATTCACATTTAAATGCTGAAGTGCTCCGACAATAGCCACTTGTGGTTTTCCAGCCAAATATAAAGAAATCACACTATCACGCTTGAATTCCATCATCAATAACTTTTTTCTGGAAACTTCTCACTGAAATACTTTTGTACGCTTGTAAACAATATAATGAGCTGTCACTGGAATATTTTTAACAGCTGTAGGACGAGTGGCTTAGAAATGATAGCAGTCTGAAGTTGGTTGAAGTTTTTCCATCTCACCCTGTAAAGTACGGCTGCTTTCAAACTTCAGATTTGTTAGCATTTATTCTCCAAATTGTCCCTGAAAATCTACTTTAAGAATTTCTTCAAAGTTCCTTGAAGAATCCACCATTAATTTAATAATTTGGTTTCCCCCTTCCTCTCCTTCCAGGTATTACGGCTGGTATTATGTTTTTGGCCTTTATTATGGATTTAGTTGTGTGGAGTAAGGCCCATCGCATTGACATCGCACCCGAAGAGAACAAAAAAGAAGAGGATGATAATAAATCAACAGAGACTGAATATAAAAAGGCAACGGTTTCACCCGATACCAGAGTATAAATAAAATTGTAACAAAAAAAAAATACTACAAAACAAACAGAAAACGCACATTGTTATGTTACACCCCCATACACACTCTCTCACACATACACATCCACAGCGATTTTACAAAAAAAACAAACAAAACTATATATGTAATTTGTTTTCAATTTTTTATATGATTTTTATTTTTTTTAATTACTCTTTAGTCGGGGATTCTAATCAATTTTTTTTTTTGTAAATTTACACATATATTGATATATGTGTTAAGGTATTAATTATACTGTTTTGAATCCTGTGTGTAACCCTTTTGTATGCTTATATGTATCTAAAAGGGTATAACAATATGTTTCCATAACATTTGTTTAATCTTATACAGATATATATATTTTTTAAATTTAGTTTTTCTTTTTATTTTTGTAATTTTTTGACTCATAATTTGTATAAAATTTTATTATGCTATTAGTTTTTATACACATATTATTATTATATTTTTTTCAATATTTTGACATCATTTTAAACAATGCCTAAAATTTGTAAAAGACCTGTGGCGAAGATGGAATGAGTCAATGTAGTCGTTGTGACAAGACTCCGAGATCTAGAATTATTTTATGGAATTTCTTTTGTTGGACATCGAGAAACCCTTAGCATGGCCTATATAAGTTCGGCCAGGAAGCCCATCTGACAATTAAGTTAACTGACCAAATATATAATTGTCATTTCAATTTCAAATAGAGTCAAATCAAATTGTTGTCAAAAGTTGTTTTCTTGACCGACCATGGCCTACATAAGGTCGGCCGATAAGCCCACCTGACAAACAAGTTTGCCACCAAAAGCCATATTTTGATTTGAAATTCAAATAAACTCAAATCACAAGGGAACAAAAACTACTAAGTTTATTGTCAAATTGTTGTCAAAAGTAGTCTTCTCTTCGCCGACCTTATGTAGGCCTTGACTCGGAGGCTTCCAAAAATTTTAGCATTTTTTTGGCATAGCTCTGAGGCCTGATATTTTTTTTTTTTTTTTTTTTTGAAAAACAAATCTTTTAATTTTCGAAAAATCCTTTTATAGAAATATGTATTTCTTGATCTTAAAGTCCATAAAATCTTTGTGATTTTTTCTTTGTCCTTCTGGGTTGATACATTTTATAAACCTCCGAGGCATATACAATTTTTTAAGGCAAAATGACATTGAATATTATTATTTGGCTTTCCGAGTTCACCTTGGCCTATAAATCATTGAGACCTACAACGATTTTGAGCCATTTTATGAATAATTTTAGAAAAGCTCAAATGAAATCTGTCACCTAAAAAAATTCCACCACAAAATTGTATAGAACATTTTTCGTTGAGCCAAGATTTTGAAAACGTTTCAAAGAAAATTGTTCGTTACCTTGAATCTAAAAATTATTTCGTTTACCTTTGTTGATAGCAAACTTTAAAGGAAACGTTTTATCAACCTCAGAGGCCCATAAATATTTTTATAAAAAAATCCCTGGTCTAAAAAATGTTAAAAAAAATTGTTACTTTGTCCTCTGATGCCCACAAATTGGTATAGAAAATTTTCCTTGGCCCAATATGTTTTCTCAGGCTCCGAGAACTTTATATTCTGATGATCCAAAAAAATATATATAAAAAATCGTAAGTCTGTGAGGACAACAAATGGGTATAGAAAAAAAGGACCAAGGCCTATGAAAAATGTTGCGCAAACGTCCGAGACCCACAAATTTATATTAAAAAATAAATAAATAAATCCGCAGCAAGATGGGACCTGGCAACTGCTTGAAGCGGAGACCTTTGTGTTAATCCTATGGAGAAATGAAAAAAAATGTTGAAAATAGGAGAGATATAGAAGCGAGAAGTATAGACATATTGAGGTGAAATTATAAGGAAACACGACGACAAGATTCGAGTGAGGCGCCCTTTACATACATCCATTTATGATATGTCTCAAAAAATGCCACGCGAAGACTTCAAGCTGCTTGTGTAACCACACCTTTAGTTGTTGTTGTTGGGTGGCCTGCCTAGACTGAAAATGTCTTTTGCAAACATGTTAATAATGATGGGATATATGTCTGAGAATAACGTTAAAGTTTATCTCGTATCTCCGACCTGCCAAATAGCCTATGTCTTTTGGTGAATATCATGGGACATTTGCAAAGTAGATGTTCCATCGTCTTTAGATGTTCCTTTTGAAGATAGATTACACAGTTGTCCTTTCTTAGGGTCTGATATCTGATACTTCAGTGACCAGGCCTTCTCAAAGTATTCTATAAACATGACGATTTTTTGATCACACCTATTAAGAGATAGAAGGGAGGGGGCATGTTCTTCTCCTCGACACTAGCAGGTCAAATGGCACACTCCTTCCTGCTCTTGAGAGCCTAGGTTGTCAACTACGACCCGGCTCCTTTGCATTACCGTTAATTGGAACAGAACTCCCCATAAGCCTTTATACAAATTTTCCTGTGGCCTCGGACGACCGCAAAATGTTATAGAAAATATGCAAGACATAGCAAATTTTATTGAAAATTTTATAACACATTTTTCTTAGGCCTCCATGGCGACAAACATTTTTTCTACTCCTGCCAGACCTACAAAATTTCAAACAAGAATTTTATAGACTTTTTTTCTGACTCCAAGGACCACAGAAATGTTATAGAAATCTATTTTTTGGACTCCGAGCCCAACAAAATTTTATTAAAAATGTCATTCTTCATCAAGTTTTGTAGATGTTTTTATCAAATCAAAAAAAATATCACGACAATTTGATAATTTTCCAATAGCTTCTATTTCCATGCAGTTTTTTTAACAATTTAGGCAATTGTTTTATAAAAGAAAAAACTTTTATTCCCTTTTTTATTATTTTATTTCTGTTTTTTTTTTTTAAATATCCTTTAGTCTTAAAATAGTCGGACGTACATATGAACCTATGTGCAATCTAATTTATCTCCATAGAATAATGATAATAATAATATTAACAATAATGATACGTCATAATTTTATGTTTATTTGTTATAACCATTTGTTTTTAAGAAAAAAAAAATACTTTTTTTTAATTCCTTTTTTTATAACCCTAAGTTGAAGTTAATGTTAAATGTATTTTTTATATATACTACCATAAGGAAAAAAGTAAAAAAACGAAAAACAAAAACAAATCAATATCCTACTCTTATGTTTTAATTCAAAAATAAGCAAAAAAAGAATGGGTAAAAAAATAGAAGAAAAACTTGAAAAATCTCAGTTAAATAAATAACAAATTAAATAATTAATGTCTTTGAAAACAAATATCGAATGATTGATTGATGACTGATTTAAAAAACAGAAAAGTAAATTGAATGTTGTGCCAGACAGGAAAACGCAACGAAATCCATATTATGGAAGCAAAAATGAAATATTGAAAGATATACCGAAAAGGGACCCAGAATGGATTCATTCAGATCTATGTTAAAAATAAAATTAAAAAATTAAAATTAAAAAATAAATAGAAATCCATATTAAATGTATGAAGCAAAAAGAAATATTGAAAGATATACCGAGAAGGCATCCAGAATGGATTCATTCAAATATATGTTAAAAAAAAACATTAAAAATTAAATCGAAATATATGTATGTCATTACTAGAAAATAACAAAACCCTTGTTATAGAAATCATAAATGCTCTGTTCCAGAATATGCAAGATTTGACTATTTTTGCCAGTTTTCTCGTTATTATTTTTAAAGGAAAAAAGTAGTAAAAAGTTTAATATTCTTGCATTTCTGAAACAAAGCCAACACTAATAACGTTATATACATATACAAGTTATTATTACATTTACACATTTAAATTAGAAATTGCAACCTATCTGTGGTAGTTATTATTTAGTTAAAATTAACAACACATCTTTTTTTGTAATTATTAAATTATTTTTTAATTCGTTTTCTTCTATAAATAATAGTAATGCATTAATAAAACTACAAAAGCAAAACAAAAAAAAACGAAAATCAAATTCCATTACAAAGAAATTTTGTTAAAAAAGATTTAAAAAATAATCGAAACAGGCAACCAATGCATTTCTTCTCTATCATAATTTTTTTTAATATAAAATTCAATACAAATTTGAGCATTCTAAACATAAAAGTGGAATGCTTATCGAAATGGCATTTAAAAAAAATAATTTATAGTTTAAAACGTTGAATATTCAAAAGTACTACTAAGTGTTTAATGTGTTAATTGAGAAAAAAAAACGAAAAACAAAACACGCCAATTACCTCTGCAAACAAACATTACATAATTAAAACAAACACCCAATCGGAAAACAAACAAATGTATCAAAATGAAATAAATGTGCATTTATGTATGAATATTCAAAATAGTGTGTTTTTCTATTTCTGGTAATTTGATAGTTAAAGGGTATCAGTCGGTTTTGCCGACACATGCATGCCCTAAGCCAATGTTAGATCACATAAATATATTTTGCCTTCTGTTATGATTATTCAAATTGTTGACCCTCCATGGAGTAGGTTCCGAAGAAATAGGATAATATTGTAAATATAAATATTGCGAAGTGCCAGGTTTGGACTATAACTTCACTTTATTTGAGATATGTGAAAAATTATTTAGAAAATGTTAAAATATGCCTGAGCCACTAGATATATAGTCGACCGAAGTATTCCATTTTCATACTTTGTCTAATACAGATTACACACATATTGGTATGGGCAAAATTACAAGAAAATCGAACATTTATATCAAATTTTATGAGAAATCATAAATTCCATATTCATCTCAGGTTTTTTGGTTTGGAGAGAAATATTTAGATATAGCAAGTTGTAAAGAATCGCTGTTTTTTTTCGCAAGTTATGACAGATAAAAATATTGAAAATTTTTACCCTTTGTGGGTAAGGTACCAGAAGAAGGTATTCAGTAGATCTTGTGTTAGCAAAAGTTTGAAGAGAGTTGGCTGCTTATTTCACTTTCTTTGAGCGTTTTGTTTTTCAAAATCTTGAACCCTATGAGGGGGAGGTACCGGAAGAAAGGGTCTGATCTCTACTATCTTTATAACAGATCTTGTGCTGATGGAAATATTGAGATGTAGCAAGTCTGAATGGAATCGGATGTTAATTTCGCGTTCTATGAGCTTCATGGATATTCAAAGTTTTAAACTTTTGTGGGAGAAGCACCAGAAGGAGTAGACCCATATATCCCAGCTTCACAGCAGATCTTGTGTTAGTAGAAATAATGGAAATACTTATTTCGAATTTTATGGTAGTTTTTGTTATTCAAAACTTTGACCCTTTGTGGGGGAGGTACAAGAAGAAATGGTCCGATCTCCACCATCTTGATAACAGATCTAGTGTTGATGGAAATATTGAAATGTGCCAAGTCGGATGTTAATTTCGCTTCCTATGAGCTTCAAGGATATTCAAAATGTTGGTCCATTTCTGAGGGAGTTTCCATAAGAAGTGGACCGATATGTTCCATCTTCACATCAGACCTTGGGTTAGTAAAAATAACAGGATGTGTGAAATATGAAGAAAACCGAATACATATTTCCGATTTTATATTCGTTTTGGTTATTCAAAACTTTGACTCTTTGTAGGGGAGGTACCCGAAGGAATGGTCCGATCTCTACCATCTTAGTAAGAGATCTTGTGTTCATGGAAATATTGAGAAGCGCCATGTCTGAATTAAGGTGGATGTTAATTTTCCGTTTTGTGAGCTTCATGAATATTTAAAATTTTGGCACTTTCTGAGAGAGATACCAGAAGAAGTGGACCGATATATTCCATCTTCACATCAGACCTTGGGTTAGTAAAAATAACAGGATGTGTGAAATATGAAGAGAACCGGATACATATTTCCGATTTTATATTCGTTTTGATTATTCAAAACTTTGACCCTTTGTGAGGAGAGGTACCCGAAGGAATGGTCCGATCTCTACCATCTTAATAAGAGATCTTGTGCTCATGGAAATATTGAGAAGCGTCAAGTCGGAATGGAAACGGATGTTAATTTCCCGTTTAATAAGCTTCAAGGATATTCAAAATGTTGGCCCATTTCTGAGGGAGGTTCTAGAAGAAGTGGACCGATATGTTCCATCTTCACAGCAGATCTTGTGTTAGTAGAAATAACAGGTTGTGTGAAATATGAAGAGAAGCGGATACATATTTCCGATTTTATGTTCGTTTTGGTTATTCAAAACTTTGACCCTTTGTGGGGGAGGTATCCAAAGGAATGGTCCGATCTCCACCATGTTGATAACAGATCTTGTGTTGATGGAAATATTGAGAAGCTCCAAGTCTGAATGGAAACGGATGTTAATTTCCCGATTTATGAGCTTCATGAATATTCAAAATTTTGGCCCTTTCTGAGAGAGATACCAGAAGAAGTGGACCGATATATTCCATCTTCACACCATACCTTGGGTTAATGAAAATATTGTGATGTGTGTAATTTGAAGACAATCGGACTCTTACATCACATTTTATAAGAGTTATAATTATTCAACATTTTGGCCCTTTGTGGGGGATGTACTTGATGAAGTGGACCGATATTGTCCTTTTTCGCACCTGGCGTGGCATTGATGCAAATATTAGGATTTGCAAAGTTGTAGCAAAATCTTACAGTAAAATCTTTGTTTGAAAATGTCGACCTTTTTGTGGGTTAGGTAACAGAAGGAGTGGAAAGCTATTACCCATTTCCAAACTCGATCTAAGTTTGACCATAATATTACGATGTACCAAGTTTGGACCAAAACGAATACTTCCTTCGAGAGTTGTCGTGCCCACCAGCCAAACAGACAGACGGACGAACATCTCTAGATCGACTCCAAATGTCTGGAAAAGGATTTGGTTCAAAGAGACCCAGGGTCTAAAACCGTTATTTCGATGAGGCACGTTTTGGCCGTATCAAATGATATATACCCTCTGTAGCCATATGGCTTTATACCCTCAGCCAATTGGCCTTATGTTGGAGGTCTTCAACATTCTCTAGAAAAATTAATTATTTTTTTTTATTTTTATTATTGTTGACATGTTTTGAATGCACTTTATTAATATTTTTGTTTTATTTAAATCGGTTTGGTGTGTGTGTTAGAAAATAAAAATAAAACAAAATTAATACAACAATGGCAGTAATTCTATATTACAATAACATGAAATTAAATTACACTGGTTTATGGAGAATTTTGTTTTTTCGTTTTTCTATTTTTTCTTATTTATTTATCACTTTTGTTTTGTGTAACACGAAACAATGCATGTTATGTAAATTTAAATTTAAAAAAAGATGGGCTTGTACACAATTTGTTATTTTCTATTCCTTTGTATTGATTTGTTTTCAATGGGGATGTACCAAACTAAAATCGGTATAACAAACTAATAAGATAAATATATTTATTTAGTTAAACATTAACAAAGAAACAGATTCATTTATCTTTCGGTTGAAGAAAAACTGCTATTCAAAACAAATTCGAAATCCATGGGGCAACTCAGTGCGCCCATTTCTAGGGATTTTCTCAAATGTTTCGGAAGTAAGAATAAAGTCTACCAGTCACAATTTCAGACTCAACGTTATAAGAAAATGAATCGACATGTACTAGCAATCCGGTGACCATAACTTAAAAGTTCTATCAAAGGAAGTTGTAACAATGAAATTCGAATTCGATGATATATCCAAGGACACAACTTTGCCATCGTGACCCTGCAATGTTTTCAGCGGTTGCCATGTTTTGTTCGACCATATTTTGGTGGTGCAATCGTAGGAGCATGTGGCCAGAAAGCTACCACCATCTCGTTGATATTTGACATCAGAAATAAGATTGACATGGGCAGGAATGGTGTAGACGGGTTGACGTCGTCTTAGATCCCAAATTTTACATGTGTTATCTTGGGAGCCGGTGGCAATGTGAAAACCATTTGGTGAGAAATCCACACCAAAAATGGAACCCAAGTGGCCCTCCAAGAACATAATACAGCGACCTGAAAAAAAACAACAATATTTAATTCAAAAATCATCATAAAATTAATATAATTTCCCCCACTAACCTGTTCGCAAATCCCACACTCTTCCAAAGGCGTCCAGGCCACCGGTAACAATTACACTGCCCTCATGTTGGAAACTAAGGCAATGCACCGCCTTGGCATGACCTTCTTGATGTAAGACCTCGGTTTTTTGTTCAAGATCCCACAGGCGCCACGAGGAGTCATAACACGCTGTGGCCAGAAATCTTCCGGATGGATGAAAACCCAATTTGGACACCCTATGTGGCATGTGACCTGTTATATCGGCTATGGATTCCTCCGAATTGAATCCCCAAAGTTTAACGGAACCATCATGACCTCCCGAAGCCATGGCCACAACATTTTCTTCATCTCGTTTGACACCCGGGCGAAATGCCACTCCACCCACATAACTGGTATGACCTCTTAGTGTCTGCTCCAGCTTACAGTCAGGCACCGACCATACCTTACACAAACCTGACCATGATGATGTAACCAACAGCGTGGAATCATCATTAAAGGCACTACCACTCAGTGGTCTGGTATCACCCACTTGACTGCAATGTGGCCCCAAAGACTGTAAACGTTTTTGTAACTCAACCATCCGACCCGCCCTTGTGGCACTTGGCACCTGAAGCGCCTCGCGTGCCTTTTCCAAACGTTCCTTGGCCCGCGGCAATGAATAGTGGGCAATCCAAAGCCTAGCAACCCTTAACGTTTCCGGTCCCTCATGATACCATGTGGTTTCTTGTTCCTTTTGTAACTGCTTTCGTTCTTCTTCTTCATTCTGCTTTTGTTTAATGGCATTTTCACCCAAACTAGCCAATAACTCCCTTAGGCGGCGTCTACGTTCCGCTGGACCTTCTCCAAAATAACATATCGGTTCATTTAATTGTCGCAAGTTCCGTTTAATTTCTGCATCATCCGTTGACACATTTATTTGGCGAGCACGTTTCTTGCGCTCAAACTCCTCCAGCAACGCAACTTTGTCTTTAGAAATTTCCGTCTCCAAATCGAAATAATCATCCGTAATCTTATTGGCTAGGGCGGCAGCTGTTGGTGGTGGCGCTGATTGGACTGCAGCTCCCTGGTTGCTTTTTCTTTGATCATCAACATAATCTTCATCGGAATCGATGTCTTCCAATTGAGCAGCAGCACCCGCCGCTATTCCCGCTCCACTCGCTGCTGCAGCGGCGCCAGTAGATGATGCCAAACGCTTTCGCTCAACTTCCTCGAGGGAGCCATAATACAGTGTTCGTTGCCGTTTAATGTATTGTATATCTTCATCGTCGGACATATTATTTTATGTTCAAACGAAGAATTAATAAAAATAATTTATACAGAATTTATTTTTGAACCAAACTATTTGCCAAATAATTGAGAAAAATAAACGACACAAACGATTAAACGTACACAAAATTGCCGCGGCCGGCGTGCTGATTGGCCGTACGTTTTTTAAACAACACTGAAGTTGTTTACATCGAACTGAGCACACAGTGACGACGTTTGACGCCGACGTTAAGCGAGAGCAAAGCAGAAACAGCGTGTTTATATTGTCGAGAATAAATCGCCAAATGAATGTAAAAAAAAGAAAATGATAACTAAAATAAAAAAACAATAACAAAAGAAAATATAGAAAAAATATATACATAATTTATACAAAAAATACAATTGGCGCGATTAGGGTATCTAAAAATCTGGAGTATCTGCAAGGGTAAGTAAAGCATTAAAGTACGTTTATAATAACTAAATCTAGTTGATCTCAACTATCAGTTCGTCAAATTAAATCAAGTATCAAATCCAGTGGATTTCATTTGATATACAGGGTGAGATAAAAAACTGCAAAAAATTAAATTTTATTCTATTTATTGAAAGAAAGCAAAAAATGCCGAAAATAGCATCAAGATTCAGAATAACTTTTGATTTGTTCAAATTGGTCACCTTTGGCACGAATTATGGCCTTTAAACGGCCAATGAAACCGTCACACGCTGCCCGAATGTTGGCTTGCGGTATTTTGGCCCATTCCTGGCGCAGCGCTTGCTTGAGGTGATCGACACTTTGGTATTTTTTAGTGCCAACCTTGCTTTCCAAAATATACTACAGACACAATAGTCCAACGGATTGGTATCCGTAGATTTTTCTGTCCATTGTGGGCTGGAAATGAAGCAAGGGACCTTAGTTTGTAACCATTCTTGGGTGGCGCTTGCTGAGTGCGATGTTGCTGAGTCCTGTTAAAATGTCCAAAGTCTGCGGCCAAAATTTTGCGTGCCGAAGGCTTTAATACGCCCTCCAGAGTATTTTTTTGATGGCCGGCGCTTGAGTTCTGGTGGCCAACCGAAGGTGCACATTTTCAGCTGAGCTCTTTACAAGTAAACACGATCATTTTGTTTGTTTACAAACTACTGGACAACGAATGCTTTCTCATCGGAGAAAACCAAATTCGCAGTTCACCGCTTTCGGCCAAGCGAAGCAATTCTTTAGCTCTCTTGAGTCTATTTTCTTTCTGTTGCGGTGTAAGTTCTTGCACTTTTTGGAATTTCAATGGCTTTATCCCGAGCTCATTTTTGAATATTTTCGGAATGAAATATTGCGATATTAGCAGGTCATGAGCCATTTTCGGCCACTGCGAAGCGGGTTTCGATCAAGTCGCTTCTTTACTTTTCGAACCAATCCTGCTGAATCCTGCTGTCGCTACTGGCTACGCTACCAGTATAACGGTAACGAGCGATGGTGGAGTGCTCTAACGGTAGCCACTTGGCTAAGGTAGAGCTACCAGCTGATTACAATTCTTTTTTCTAAAGGTGAAAACACATAAAAGTCTTTTTTGACTGGCTGGGCACATTAGTTGAACAGGAATTTGGAAAAACAGTGAGTGAAGTAATGCTAAGTTTACATGGCACGTGATTCGATCTGTTTTCGTTGCTCGACCATTTACTTTATTCCCCACACAAAAGATCAGAACCAAGCATTTATCGAAAAAATAAATTATGACATTTAAAAATCAAAAATAGAAAAATTTTATGAAATCTTAGAAAATTTTGAGAAGACTGAAAATTATGAATGAAAACTTGAATGTTGAATGGCGTATGTAAATTCAAACAAAAGTAAATTTGTTTTTTTTTTCTCTCATCCGAGGTAGCTTTTTGTCCACAAGTTGGAATTTCGACAGAAAACTGGAAACAAAAGGGGAAATGTTTTCAAATGTTTTTTTTTATCGGCAAAAATTTATTAACAAGATACTATTCAACCGAACTAAAAACAGAAAAATATATGTAAAATGTCAACATTTATACAGAAAGTTCATAACATGAATGACCCAAATGATACGACCTAAAAGCCCAATAACACAAAGTCTTTAATCATTTATGAATGAAAATCGTCAAATGAAAGATAAAATAAATCTTTGGAGGAAAAACAATAATTTTTTTTATTATCAATGCTAATTTCATGTACTTTTGTACAACTTCCTATTAAAATCAATAAACAAAAATTTTGAAAAAAGGAATTATGTTACTATAAATTAAGAATCGTGCCATATGAACGGGTTAATTCGTGTACCTAATTTTGAGAGCGAACAAAGTGATTGAAATTGCAATGAGAACATAGTATAAGTCGAACAATCGACTACTAATAGTCGAGTACTCGGTTTTCACCCAAGTCCATAGACGAGTTCAAGTTTCAGAGCACTAAAAGTCGATTATTCGATTAATCAAAAGTCGACTTACATATCCCTACATTTATTTAGTAAGGAAAAATTATTGAAGAAAAAAACTGAAGTTACAACGTGCAATTTATTTAAACAATTGCGAATATAGAGGAAAAAAAGATACATCAGCACGTTCTACGCCTGTCAAATACAAATCAAAAGAAATCTGCTTTAATTTCACACAAAAAGAGAAACGCCAAGAAAATTTAGAACAATTGGAAAGGAAAAGAAATTGCGTTGAAAATAATTCAGGACGGCGACGACAGCAGGCAGTAACAAAACAACGACGACAAAATTCTTGAATGCGATCGCAAGAAGTCGTGGCAGCATCCCGAGGCGAAGAAGCAAAGCAAAGGAATCATCAAAGGAAATTGCAATTTGAACAACAATTTTGAAATACTGAAGAAAACATAGCAAAAACAACAAACGAGGGCATAAGACTGACTAGTAATATTACCGAGCGATTATTGTCTCAAAGAAATTGAAATTTTTCCACTCAAGCTAAGGTAGCGTAGCCATCAAGAGAGCAGGACATGGAAGACGATTGGACAGGCAAAGCGGTCTCCATTGAATGCGATGCAAAGTTAGGCGTATTTCAGGGTATCATTTCACAGTGTACGCCTACCGAGATCACAATAGTACGGGCATTTCGCAATGGTGTGCCACTGCGCAAACAAGACGCGGAAGTAACTCTACGTTCCACGGACATTACCAAAATAAGTTTATTGCCATCTTACAATAATCAGAGCACTGTAACACCGACCGTAATTAATAAGCCCACCCCGGTTAAACAGCCCAACTTTGCCAATGTAGCCGTCGTCAATGGTGGAGGAGCAGCAGCAGCAACAGCGGCTGTTCCAAAACAAGATGTCAACTCAACACTCAGTAACAAAATGAAGCAAAGCATGAGCCTAAAACAGGAAGGAAATATGTAAGTAAAACATTGGTTTCGAAGTTTGGAATCAGTCAATAATTATTTCTATTTCTTTTGCAGACAATCACCCTCATCGTCAAGGGCACCCAGTGCATCAATGTACAATGGCAAGAAATCAAATTCACCACAGCAGCAGCAACATTCAAGTAGTGTGGCCCTCTTTTTTGGCAATCTTATACCGCCTAAAGTTGAGGTGCGAATGGGTGCCGCCAGTTGCTCGGCCTCCGTCTGCTCAACATCGAATAGCTGCAATGCCGAAAGTTACGGCAGCAATGGCGGTGGGGTTGGTATTGAAAACGGTGCTTTAAATTGTAGTAAACCCATTGACATTGTTCCAAGTGGCGGTTCCTATTACGCCAGCCAGAAAGAGAATGGCGGAGGTGGCGCAGCCTCATACTCGAGTGGTAACGGCGGCGTTGGTCCCACACACAATGGCAGATCTCAACGTAACTCATCCATAAACGGCAATGGTAGCTGCAACAACACAAACGGCGGCAGCAATGGTAATGGCACACGCAACAAGCAGCGCAATAAGCAGGTACGACGTGAGAACAGCATCAAACACAGTCAAACGTTTAGCGCCTCCATTGATGATCCTTTGCTGCATGAAGATTTCGATTTTGAGGGCAACCTGGCTTTGTTCGATAAACAAGCCATATGGGACTCCCTGGAGGCTGGTAAAAAACCAGATCTAGTACAACATGCTGTTTCGGCATCAAATCAGAAAAAATATCGACATGATGAGAATATTTTGGTTAGTGAACCGGCCCAGATGCGGCAAATCGAATCGTTATTTGTGGGTGGCTCGGAAGATTTTGTCACCGACGAGGGTCTAATAATACCCACAATACCCGTATTTGTGCGCACAAAAATTGAAATGTGTGCCCAGAAGTGTGGCCTATCATTGCAGCGACAATTGGATTTGCTGGCACGCGGTGCAACAGATTTGGCCATACTGCTGTTGGGCGGTGCTCGTCGCCTGACGCCCAATAATCGTCATCAATGGCCAACGATTGCAATAATATGTGAGAAATCGGAGAATTTTAGGTGAATATAAAATATGCGACGAGTTTGGATTTTTTGGTGAAAATTTTGTTGCTTTCTTTTTTTGGAAAAAGGTCAAGTAACGTTGGTGCTGCTACTGGCCGCCAGCTGGCATCTCATGGTTTAAGGGTATTACTTTATCTGGAAGAAGATTCCAATATTGAACAAAAAAGTATAGAAATATCGCTTTTTAAAGCAACTGGAAATACGGTGGTGTATTCCGTTGAAGGTGAGTACAAAATGATAACTCTGCAATCCAAATCTCCAAGTACTTTGAAAGAAAAACAAGTAAATCTTTGAATACCCTCACCATATGGTACAAATTTGGCAATTTTCAAAAAAAAAAAAAAAATAGAATCCGTTAAAAACTCTGTTAAAATCTTAAAAATACCGAATGTAGCCGCTATATTAGGGTCTGGATCTGCATAGGCCATTTTTGCCAAAAGCCTAATACTCAAATCCGAAAATTGAAAAAAAAAAATTGTTGATAATGTCGCTAAAATCATCAAAGTACCGAATATCGGGAGGTATCGTTATATGGGGGCTATATGGAGACGTGGAACTGCACAGACAATTTTCTATCATAGGTTGTAGTATCCATTGCGAACTTCAAATACCAAATTTGAAACAATTCCGGTGAATAATGTCGCTAAAATCCGTTATATGGGGCCTATACGAAGGCGTCGACCTGCACCTACAATTTTCTGTCTCAGGCTGTAGTATCCATTACGAACTTCAAATACCAAATTTGAAACAATTTCAGTGAATAATGTAGCTAAAATCATCAAAATGCCGAATGTAGGGATGTACCGTTCTATGGGGGCTATACGAAGGCGTGGACCTCCATACGAAATTTTTAGGCATAAGCTGTAGTACCTATTACAAACTTCGAATACCAAATTTGAAACAATTTCGGTGAATAATGTCGCTAAATTCATCAAAATACCGAATATCGGGTGGTAACGTTATATGGGGGCTATACGAAGACGTGGACTTGCACAGACAATTTTCTGTCTTAGATTGTAGTACCCGTTACGAACTTCAAATACCAAATTTGAAACAATTCCGGTGAATACTGTCGCTAAAATCATCAAAATACCGAATATCGGGAGGTACCGTTATATGGAGGCTATATGAAGACGTGGACCTACATGGCCCATTTTCAATACCAAAAGTCTTGCAGACATAATACACATTTGAGTAAAATTTTATCAACCTACTTCATTTCGTTCGGATGCTAGAGTTATTTCCACAGACGTATAGACGGACAGACGGACGAATTTTATGCTGATCAAGATTATATACTTTGTGGGGTCTAAAATGTATATTTCGAGGTGTTACAAACGGAATGACAAACTTAATATACCCTCCATACTGTGGTGGAGGGTATAAAAATAGCTTTTATTTAAAAGCCTAATTTTGTTAATTTTTCTTTGTTTGTCTCCTGTATGTCCTCTAATGATTATCTATTCAATTCTTACAGCACTCCCTACACCTGATCTTGTGATATTGTCGACAAATTCTGCTAATTTGTCGACCGACGTAAAGAAGTGGTTAAGTGAAAACCGGTGAGTCTCGATTACCCTTTAAAAATGTTGTAAACCTATTAAATCTTTCCTCCCATTACAGAGCATCTATATTGGCCATTGATCCGCCACCAAGTGGCATTAATGATGTATCCATCAAATATTCAATTATACCAATCTTACCATTAAATGGCATATCATCGAATAATTGTGGCAAATTGTATTTATGTAATCTGGGTATACCGGATAAATTTTATCGTGATGCTGGCATTAAGTACAAAAGTCCATTTGGGCATAAATTTGTGATACCAATCCACTCAAAGGACTGAAACTAATTAATATAACAATAACAGAAAAAAAAAAAACAAAACCCCCAAAACAACAGAATTTCCAAATCGACAAAACAATGAAAAACAAAGCCATCAACAAAAAAAAAAAAAAGAAAAATTCTGTGGAGATTGAAATCAACCAACCAATAAAATGCAACTCAAGCAAAATGGAATCTTCGAAAAAAAAAAACTAAACAAATTTTGGCAATTTTACAAAACACAGACAGACCAAAAGTGGAAATATATAAACTACAATTTTAAACTTTTAAAAAGATCATGGAGAGCATTACAAGAATACAACAAGGCAGGCAAGCAGAGCATTGCCACCACACTGATGATGATTACAATAGCAGTAAAACAACAAAAAAATATATCATTGCAGCCAAAACTAAATCTAATTTTAACTAAGCAAATATTTTAAATTATACATCTGTTTGTTGTCTTTTTTAAAAAAAAAAGAAAGTGAATGTACCAAAAATCAAAACAATTTGCCACTTTTTAAATGTTGATTTCAAATTAACATTCCCCTCTTAGAACAATTCCTAAACAAAAATTAAACTTAATATCAAATTTGTATTCTCTCCTACTTTTCCATGGAAATGCAATCAATCCCCCCCAAGAAAAATATTGGAAAAAAAAAGAAATTGCCACAAAAAATCTGAGTAATAAAACATCAACAACAAGATTCCAAATTATGGTTTTTCAATCATTTGTTTTATTTTTTATTTTATTTATTTTTAAATAAAAAGATTGTTTATTTCATTTTTTTTACAAATTTTAACAACACAATAATTAAAAGTTATTTTGTTTATAATATAATTATACTTATACACATTATTAGCAATAGAATCTTAGATTTAAATTACTCTAGAAAACATGCCATGTCTGTCGATCGATCATCATCATCATCGAGTCGTCCGTCATAGTGGCTTTTTTTATGGGGCACCGGAAAATACGTCTTTTGGTAAACATCCATGGTATTTAGTTGCTAAAGGCTGTAGGGACTTTCTTATAGGGACAACAAATTAATTCTGAGGGGTATCTCTAACTGTTATGTACACTTATTCGAGACCCGTGTCATAGTAAATGACATTTTTCTCGAGAAATTATTCGATACCAAATGTAGCGATTGGGTCCCAATTAGTAATTCATTTTATTTTTCATTTTACCACAATTCGTTGGAATTGTTTTCCAAAAATAAGCCATACGTTTTTGAGAGAGGGCTAAATGATTAAAGTTATATTGTTTTTCATATTCAGGTTTAATTTCGTATTTGACCCTAACGCTTCACAGGAAAACAAGTAAAAATTGAAAGAAGAAGGAGGAAAATGTAAGACTTTGCATTTGATTGTTACGAGGGAAATACAATTTAAAATTCATTAAAAAATATCACTACCTTTCATCTGAATAATTTGAATATTTTACCAAACAATTGTTATAAAGGACCATAGAACAATTTTATGTAGGGTCACATGATAAAAAAAATGTGGAACTTAAAAACATTTTTTGGATTTGGATATTTTTTTTATTTTTTTTTTTTTCTGAAAACCATCTGAATTATGTTCGGGGTTTAATTATGGAGAATAGCTTGACCTATATCTTAGATTTTTTAAAGGATATTTATGCATCACCAGGGCGGGTCACAAGATTTTAGAATTGATTTTTATGTTTACAAGAGTTTTGTTGTGAAGAGCCATCGGCCTTTTTGTTGAGTTATTTGTAGGACCAATGCGTCCCGATTTTGATATTTTGAACTCATCAATACTATGGACTTGGATTTTAAAAAATTGAACGATCGGTGTATTTTTTTTCGAAAAAATAATCGTTTATATACAGCGTAAGATGAAAAAACTGCAACCAAATTCAGACTGCTTTCATTTCTAAGCCACTCGTCCGACAGCTGTTAAATTATTCCAGTGACAGCTCATTATATGTTTACAAGCGTACAAAAGCATTTTGATGAGAATTTTCCAGAAAAAAAGTTATTCGTGATGGAATTCAAGCGTGATAATGTGATTTCTTTATATTTGGCTGAAAAACATCAAGTGGCTATCGTTAAAGCACTCTAGCATTTAAATGTGAATAAATCTTTTGTGTCTCGTACCATCGCTCGGTATCGATTACGTGATACTGGTTGAGTAGCCCGACGTCAAGGAAATGGACGGTAGAAAAGAGCAACATCGACAGAAATGGTTCGAAAAGTATAGCGACTTGATCGTCGCAGTGCCCGGAAAATGGCTCGTGAGCTGAACATATCGCAATATTCCATTCGGCAAATATTGAAAAATGAGCTTGGGGTAAAGCTATTGAAATTCCAAAAAGTGCAAGAACTTACACCGCGACAGAAAGAAAATAGACTCAAAAGAGCTAAAGAGTTGCTTCGATTGGCCGAAAGTGGTGAACTGCCGAATTTGGTAAACTTCCGATGAGAAAACATTCGTTGTCCAGCAGTTTGTAAAACAAACAAAATGATCGCGTTTACTAGCCAAAGAGGTCAGCTGAAAATGTGCACCTTCGGTTGGCCACCAGAATTCAAGCGCTGGCCGCCATAACAGCCGATGGAATCAGAATAAATGCCGAATATTATCGCGACAATATTCTGGAGGGTGTATCAAAGCCTTGGACACGTAAATATTTTGGCCGCAGACCTTGGACATTCAACAGGACTTAGCAACATCGCACCGTTGGACTATTGTATCTGGAGTATATTTGGTTTGGCAAAGTTGGCACTAGAAATACCAAAGTGTCGATCACCTCAAGCAAGCGCTTCGCCGAGAATGAACCAAAATGCCGCAGAGCAACATTCGGGCAGCGTGTGACGGTTGCATTGATCGTTTAAAGGCCATACTTCGTGCCAAAGGTGGCCAATTCGAACAAATCTAAACTTATTATAAAAGTTGATGCTATTTCCGATATTTTTTTAAATTTCACTCAATAAAATTTAAAAAAAAAAAATATAAAAATCTGAATTTTTGCAGTTTTTTTATCTCACCCTGTATATGTGAGATTTTTTTATATGATTTTACTCTAGATAGCAGACATTTCACTTGAATTACAATACAGTTTTTGGTATTGTAGATTCAAACCTAATATTCAAAAACTATTCAGATGTATGGGGGTATGTGCGTATTTGCCTTTAAAGACAAATTGTACTAATTTGTATACAAAATGAATGTTCTTCTAAATCGATTTCATATAACCATTTTTTAAATTATGTTTTCCTAGAAATCTTTATGAAGTTTTAAATGGGCTTTTTTAAATCGAATTTAAGACCATGTTTTTAAAATTCAGCTCCATATTTTCTCCTTCTCTTTGATTTTTGACACTATTGTCTCCTTTTTTACTACTTAGCATAGCACAGACATCTCAAAAATAAGCTAAGTGTACTTGAAAATTGTCCGACTTAAATACACATCTTTCCAAATTTTTCTCTACACATTCAGTTTTTAAAGTTTTTGGAATAATGTCATACAATAAAGATATAATAAAATATACTCACGTCATAATGTTCTCAGCTCAAATTTTGTTTACAAGTGAAGCAAAGGATTACGAGATAAGTAGAGAGTGAGAGAGATGGGGGAAAGAAAGGAAAATTAAATAAAAATAATATTGACTATCATTATTTCAATGACAAATGTACCGAATACGTACCCAAAGACGCTCAAAAATAACTGGATACAAAATATTTGTATTAAATTCCCTGTTCTTTCTGTAGAAATCGATGTGAAAAAAAATATAGACGACGGAGGCATAATTATATGGTTTGTCACAAAAAAGTGTTTGGAATGTCGAATTTTCTTTCGATGAGTGGGTTTATTTATATAATTTTTTCAATTTGAATCGGATTTCGTTATTCATTTGGAATTGACATTAAGTAGTCCCCTTGAAAACTTCAACAGTATTGTGGGAAAATGTAGAGAATACAGAAACTCAAGCTCGGGGATAAAAACAAAGCGGCCGTAATCCAATTCAAATCGAACTCTTTCATCCGTCTCAAGGGTATATTTTCCGTTCAATTTATATTTGTAAAAGTCTAATTTTTCCACCCCAAAATATTTTTTTTAATCTCAAATCAAGTAAGATGCTGATCCACATTGTGAGGTTTAATATTTCGAAAAATCACATGCAGCGAAGGGAGCTGTCCATTGCAAGGATCCAGCGTTTATGAAAAATCAGAAATCTCATACAAAACAAAGAGGCTCCCGGATTTGTTTAAGATTTCTTAATTAACCCATTGAAATAAATGTTTAGACTTCATAAATTTTGAAGTAGATTTTTTCCGAAAGTGGTAGCGTGCTTATCCCAACTGGGGGATGGAGAAACCCGATGTAACCCGACTCCGCCAAAGGATAAACAATTAAAAAAGCCGTAGGTTCGGCCTTACCCTCCACCATTTGGAACGATTTTGGCAATTTTCAAAAAAAAAAAAAAAATCCGTTACCAATTCTGTTAAAATCTTAAAAAGGGCCGAATGTAACCGTTATATTAGGGTCTATACGACGACGTGGACCTGCATAGGCTTTGTTTGTCAAAAGCCAATACCATATTCAAATTCGAAACTTGAAATAAACGGTGAATAAGGTAGCTAAAATCATCAAAATACGTATATATGGAGGTGCCGTTATATCGGAGCTATACGATGACCTGGACCTGCATAGACAATTTTCTGTCACAGGCTGTAGCATCCATTACGAACTTTAAATACGACATCTCAAACAATTTCGATTAGTATTGTACCTAAAATCGTCAAAATACCGAATATAGGGAGGTATTGACATATATGTGGCCTATACGAAGACCTGGACCTGAATAGACAATTTTCTATCACAGATTCTAGGTCCCATTACGAACTTTAAATACGTAATTTGAAACAATTCCGGTGATTAATGTCGCTAAAATCGTCAAAGTACCGAATATTGGGAGGTACCGTAATATGCGGGCTATATGAAGACGTGGACCTGCATACAAAAAATTTTTTCATAGCCTGTAGCACCCATTACGAACTTCAAATACGAAATTTGAAATAATTCCGGTAAATAATGTCGCTAAAATCATGAAAATACCGAATATCGGGAGGTACCGTTACATGGTGGCTATACGAAGACGTGGACAACAATTTTTGTCATAGCCTGTAGCACTCATTACGAACTTCAAATACAAAATTTGAAATAATTCCGGTAAATACTGTCGCTAAAATCATGAACTACCGAGTATTGGGAGGTACCGTTATATAGGGGCTATATGAAGACGTGGACCTGCATAGACAATTTTCTGTCACAGACTCTAGTTCCCATTACAAACTCTAAATACGAAATTTGAAATAATTCTGGTAAATAATGTCGCTAAAATCATAAAAATACCGAATATCGGGAGGAACCGTTATATAGGGGCTATACGAAGACTTGGACCTGCATAATTTTTTTTTCATAAGCTGTAGTACCCTTTTGGATCTTCCAATACAAAATTTGAAACGATTCCGGTGAATAATGTTGCTGAAATCATGAAAATACCGAAAAGCGGGAGCTACCGTTATGATGTTTCAAACGGAATGTCAAAGTTAATATACCCTTCATAGAATGGTGGAGGGTATAAAAGTCATCGCGATATTTTAGAGTTCACTCAGTCTTCGGGTAGGTAAGAGACTATCCGCTCTCAAGGAAACAATGGTTGCTAACCCATTTTTCCCAACAAAAGGGAGTTGGTATTTTCATGCAAAAATCAGTTCAATACGTTCTCACCATGAACTATTTTCGAAGTAATTTTTTTGCTGAGGTTTTCTTATAAACAACTTTGCCCAAGTGGTTGCTTCAAAAGAAATTCCATATTCCACTTTGAACAGCGATTCCATACATTTTTTGTGACAAAACTGAATGCCGCTTAGATATTTCGAAAGGATATTTTTTTTCGAGCATGCTCCTTCCTTCTTTTCAACCAAAATTGGTAACAACAACATATGTCAATTTTTAATGTGATACGTACCCAACCAGCTTCAGAGAGAATATAACTTGTGGAAATAACAATTCATGTGTTACTGCCTTTTGTTTTGTGTTATGAAAGGGCATTTTTTTGTTTTGATACATATGTTCTCTACTCACTTAAATATCTGGGGGAGTGGGGGATCATTCCAAACTAACAACGACGATCCATCGCAAAAAATTTCCACCAAACGAAGAAAATATTTAAAGGAAAAAAATACGTACCAAGAATTGAGGTGGTGGCGATGATATATTGCATACGTACATGATTGATTGATTGGGTGATTGGTGATCGTGGTGGAACTATTTTGGTGGTGTTTGGTTGTGGAGAAAAAGGACCAAAATTGACACTATTATTGAAACGCAGACACACGCACGCATCTCCTAATAAGATAAAGCTGTAAAAATGTGTATCGTAAAGAAAATGGTGAAGTATTTTTTTTTGTTTTTGTTTGTACGTAATGTTTAATAATCAACTAACAACAATATTGTATAGCATACTGTGCTCACCAAAATTTCAAGTGGAACGTGGTCGGTCATCTCCTCACAGCTGGATATTATTATTTTTTATAATACGTACCCGAAAATCTAACAGTACAACAGGGTGGGGAAGATATACATCTTTTGGTGAGAAAAGAAATATCGAAAGAACAACGTACTTGAGGTGATCGAAAAAGCCATCATTTATATGTTATTCCATGCAAATCACATACATTCTGAGTAGTATTTAAACTTTCAAAAAAATAAAATTAATGAAATAAATATTTTATTTTATTTATTTATTTTTTTTTTTTTTGATTCAATTAAAAATCTCTGAAAATCATGGAAATAACATTATAAAATGATTGCAAATTGATTTCACTCTTCTTTTATTATTTGCTCTTACCCAAGAAATAAAGCGGGATCGGTTGACTATGGTCGAATTTTTTTCTTTTTGTATTTGCTACATGACTGAGAATCGAATGGATCGGTTTGGTGGAAGTCGTTTGTTTGGGCCTCTCATGCGCTTTCATTCAAAGCCTGAAATTAATGCTATACTACTTTAAAATGTTTCTGACACTACGTACCCGTCATTAGATGCAACTCGATTCAGGCCGTCTCTACGAACGAACGAAATATATACTTCAATGGGTCTCGTTTGTTTGCTAACCACCACCCAGCAACCACTCCACCACCACCAGCACCACCTGTGTGTGGTTTGGTTAGATTGGGAGACAGCAGCGAGAAAATTTGTGATTTTATTTTTAAATCACCTCTCTAAATATCTCTCTTTTTCTTTTCTTCGTGGTTAATATCCCGCAAATAGTTAAAGAAGAAAGAAACAAATAGCATTGATTAATGTACAAACATTATATTTAAATCTAAAATTAATGTTATTCTTTTTTTGTTTTGTTTTGTATGTTGTGGGTTGTTGTTTATGTTGTATGTGTGTAAGTCTGTGTATGTATTTGTTTGAGTGAATTTTGGGATATTAAAGAAATTAATTTATATATTTAAAAATATAAGACAATATCATTGGAAAATGGAAAACAAAATTTAAGTTTACATACGTGCTGCTATTGAATTGTCGTCTAGACTTAAAATTATGATTTTCTTATGAAGTTTTCTAAGCCAAGCCATCGCCCATAGCTGTGGATGTGACATCCTCTTGCTCTCTCCACACACAGACGTTGATGATGATTGATCTTGCCCTAATGGTGGGGAGGGTTTTGTAGCTTAACGACGATACCGGTCCCTTGAAGATGACCTTCTGCGGGAATTATAACTGCGTCCACGTGATCGGGAACGAGATCTTCTTCTATCGGGACTACCACGACCACCGCCTCCAGCACCACCACCTCTACGTGATTCATTGCGATCTTTACGATCGGATCGTCCACCAGATGTGCCGGAGCTACCCCCTTCTACAGCTGCACCACCACCGCCGCTGCCGCCGCCGCCACCACCACCTCGGCGTCTCTCTCGTGATCTCGAACGGTGCACACGCGACCTTCTATCCAACTCACGACCACCCACAAAGTAACGTGATCGCGATCGTTCACTATCACGTTCATGTATCTTGCCGGTACGCTTTAATTCTGCCTTGCGTGGTCCCGCCGTCTTCTCCAATTCAGCCAGTTTTTCCCTAATGGTTAAAAAGCCCAAATGCAACTTACCGCCGAAATGATCTGCCAACCGGATATCGTTATCGTGTATTCCCAAATAGGCTGAGCACACTTCGCACACTCGCAACTTTTGCTGCTGATACGTTGAGGCGGGCATTGATGTACGATATTCATGTTCTGCTTTGATTTTCTTTGCTCGCAGCTCATCGATTTCCTTCATCAGTGACATACTTTCTTCGACCTCACCCGCCTCACCCAATGCTTCGGCTTTGGCCAGTTTCTTGCCTATCTCTTCGGCCAATGCGTGTACAGCATTTGCCTTTTCCGCCACTTCGGCGGTAAGTTCTTCCTGTGTCTCCTTGAGGCGTTGTTTGGCCGCCTCTGTACGCCTGTCACAGTCAGCAATGAAGGCCTGCAAATGTTCCATTGCCTCGATATCATAGTAATAATCTCGTGATTTTACCGCATTCTGGTAGTCAGCACGAAATGCCAAATCGTGTACCTTTGGGCACTCGCCCAAATCCATACGTGTCGATGCCAAGATGTCGTGGGGACAACAATCCAAAAGAAAACTCTTACACACACGAGGATCGGAGAATTTCAAGCCACGACCGTCGTCACCATTTCTAGTTGTGCCCATCAGTTGGTCAAGCATAGCCCTCATTTGATCCGTTGCCGACATCTTGGTTAATTACAATTTAAAGAGATTACTAGTTTTTATTTAGTATTTTTCAGCAATTACAATTCTATAAGCTGTCTATTCGTCGATTTTTTCATAAAAAAAATGGAGAAATAGGGATAGGTAGGTCGACTATTGATTAATCGAATAATCGACATTTAGTACTCAGGGCTCTGAAACTCGACTTCGGATTTTGGTGAAAAGCGAGTATTCGACAATTCATCATTGAGTGTTCGACTTATGCTATGTTCTCATTGCAATTTCAATCACGTTCATATGTCACGATTCGTAATTCATAGTAACATAATTCCGTTTTTCAAATTTTTCGTTTGTTGATTTTTGTGTGTAAGAAATTACATGACAAATAGCTATGCACATTCGAGATTCAACATTATATCATATATTTCTTTGATTTTTTCAATTTTGAAATGTCGTAATTTCATCGTAGCTCTGAGAATGATTTGTTCGCTCAGAAATGTTTGTGTGGGGAATCAAGTACATATTGATCGAATCACGTGCCATGTGAACTTAGCATTACTTTACTCACTGTATTTATTTTTAAATTCCTGTTCAACTAATGTGTCCAATACCAATGTTCTTGTTAAGGTGAGATGACTTGGTTGTGCTTCTAAAGCGAGCGCACTTCTGTCCTGTTATGTTGTAGCAGAACAGAGCGAACGCGCGTGGGAAACCAAAATAAAAGCCATCTCCAACGAAGCTAATATGGAGACCAAAAAGGAATATTTGATAAAAAATAAAGACAAGGCAAAATCCCGGGGTACTCTATTTACGAATGAGACATGAGTGGTAAGTTAGCGGCGTTGCCACAGCAAGTAAAGTGCGCAAGTAGCAACAGTGTTGCCATGATCGAAAATACAGATGCACCAACGCATGGGAATATTGATATATCAAAAAAATTAAATGTCTTTTCAAATATAAGTAGGTTTTATATGTTTTTATTATACAATGTAATTCGGAGATTATTATAATGTGGCGTTTCCACTGCACTTGATTCGCTCTCTATTCGTTGTTTGACCCTTAACTATGAAAAAACTACATTATTCTTCACACAAAATTTCCTGAGCGAACACTCATATTTGTACGTTGTTCAAATCAAATTACTCTCAGAACAACGAAAAAATATGTCCCATCCCTAACAAATGAGAGCATTTATCGAAAAAATAAATTATGACATTTAAAAATTAAAAATAGAAAAATTTAATGAAATTTTAAAAATTTTTGGGAAGACTGAAAATTATGAATGAAAACTACAATATTGAATGGCGTATGTACATTCAAACGAAAGTACATTTTGTTTTCTCTCTCATTCGAGGTACGCATTTTATCCACGAGTTGAAATTTCCACAGAAAACTGCAAACAAAAGAGGCAATATTTTCAAAAACTTTGTATCGGCAGAAAAAATGTTTGACAAGTGTCTCTCCAGCAAAATTTAAAAATAGAAAAATACAAAAATATGTTCAAATGTCAACATTTGCACAAAAAGTTGAAAACGTGAATGAAAATTACAAAATTAATGATATAATAAATCTTTGGGAGAAAAACAATCATTTCTTCTATTCATATTAGTGAGAATTTCATGTATTTTCGTATGAATTCCCATTAAAATCAACAAACAAAATTTTTGAAAAAAGGAATTATTTTACTATGAATTACGAATCGTGCCGTATGAACGGGTTAATTCGTGTACATAATTCTGAGAGCGAACAACGTTGTTCGGTTTCCAATGGAAACATGCTATAACAATTTTTCAACAATTTTTACAAATTTAAATATTTTTTCATTCAACATTTTCAATTCCAAAATTGGTTTGACAGTTTATTGTCCCAGCAGCTGTGTCGATGCGTCTACCTATATTCTTCTACCATGAGTGTTGCCAAACTTTGGTGCCAGATGTTTTAAATGGTACGACGTTACATAAAATGTCGTGGTTGGCACATTCAATGTTAATGTAGCAGTTTTTACTGAGTTTTATTAAAAGTAATGTTATAGCGCTTTTGTTTTATTGAAGATTAAGCGAGTGGGCTTAATAGATCTCGTGGGTAAACCTTGTGTGGAAATACACCCTTTGGAGGATATAAATTCTGTTCCAGTACCTGTAAAAATCTACTAGTTTTGCAATTTTTCTTAGATTTTATAAAGGGAAAATCGGTTATCTTTGTAAAAACTTTTATATTCTTGAAGTTCTGGAGCAGACCATTTGTTTATTGTTTTATTTAATTTCATTAGGAGGAATGGGTCTCCTCCCATAGTCTTTTCTGACATTTTCGTTTGTATTTTTTCGGCACAAAAACCAAAAATACATTGGAAAAAGCTTTATTGTGTTTGTCAACTAGTATATTTTACAAAATATATTTTCTTTCGCCAAAATTCCAAACGAATGAAAATATACTGTTACAAAAACAGGCTGTAAGTTTTGTTTTTTCATGTACTTTCAAACAACACTTTTCAAATGCTAATAGGAACATAGCAACACTCGACCATGTTCCCCAAGACGCACGATATTATTCAACTGTACAGAGTACGCAGATATCATAGCGCACCGCCGTCGTTTTAAATACATCTGATAAGTTGCTGGCGTCGAAAAAATCGTTCCGCTTCGTTGTCTATTTCCAACGAGAATTTATTGGATATTATTTCTTTATATTTTGTTTGTAATATTTGAAATGTATTTTTTATTTAAAATATCTTATTAGCTAGCTATTAAGTACACAAAAATTAGTGCATACAAATTGAATGATATTGCCAAGGTGAAATCGAGGCATGCAATAAAACAATGATAATACATACTATGTGCAGATAGAAGCGTTCATTGCCAGAAGAATACATACGTCGCGAAGAAACATCATACAAGAAGGAAACTATAACTAAAAAATCAAAAAGTCTATTAAAATCTTCCAAATAATAACCAGCTGTAAGTTAATGAAAGTAATGACTTAAAAATTGCTTAAATTACTATTCAAGTGGGGGGTGTGAGCGAAAGCACCCTTGATTATTATTGCCATAATAAAATTGTTTTGCGAATTGTTTATATTAGTTTCTGATTAACTGTTATCGTTAATGATTAAATGCCTGGTGATGAAGAGATGTCTGTTTGTGTGCGTGTGTCTGTGTTCTTATTTTATTGAGCCTGAAATAAAATGTGTGTTTCTTTTTTTTTGTTCTTTAAACGACGTTTGCAGAAAATCATCCAATACGATTTGCCTTTGCATTAAATGTTGCATTTTTAATTGTCACACAACAAATAACACAAATAAAGCATTGTAATGTCTGCACGTTCTGCCAATACCGTTTTGCCGCCAGCAGCAGACAGTGACAATGCTCCACGGCCTCCACCTCGGCGGCGAGCAGCTTCTGTTGCAGGTCAACAAAGACGTTTTTCATCACAATCAAGTCAAGAGTTCAGTGGCAGTGGGCATACACCAAGACGATCTTTAGCAACAGTGGTAAGTACTGAGTAAAACAAAGAATTAATTTTCGTACATGTTTTTCTACCCCTTCCCCCAATTGTTTTCTTGATAATGTATGGGAGTGTGGCATTTAATTGTTGTTGCATTTAAGAAAACATCAAAAGAAGAAGATGCATTAAGCATAAACAATCAGCAGATGTCAAGTGTAGTGTAGTTGGGCTTTTTGTTTTCCTCTTTTGTTTTTGCCCAGTGACAGTCGTGAGAGTGTGTGCGTGTGCATGTTTCGTGTGTAGCAAAAACAGCTGTTCACTATTAGTACCCCCCAAACGAAAGCAATGAAAAAATTTAACAAGGGGGCATTATTTATTTTGGGTGGAAACCACCTAAGCAAGCACCACAATGCTCCCCCATTTCTTTCTCCGCAATAACAAAATAATCAGTGAGCGACGTAGTTTCCCTCATTCATACAATTAGAGAGCGAGCAACAGCTCACATGACAGATGACATTTGTGTAGTCATTTTTGTGGTCGTTTAGTTTAGTTAAGTTCACCGAGAGAGTAATAACGTCGTTTTTTGAACAAGTGCTGCTGTTCCTATCATTGCGCGAGTGTTTGTGAGTTTTGTCGGTCGAAATTAATAAAGAAAAAAAAAAAGAAAAGAAAAATTGTTACAAAAAATGTTAATAGTTTAATGGAGCCATTGAGGATTTGTTTAATGCCAACTTAAAATGATTTCACCATATTGCCCCTCCTAAACGTAATAAGAAAAGAATTTGATTAAACGGTTTTGTGCAAGCGAGAAATAAGTGGTATTATTTTGGCATGAATGCCTGAGTGAGTGTGTGTGCGAGTGCCATTTGTCAAAAGAAGTCGTCTCTGCTCTTGAAAGATTAATACGAAATAATTAAAAAGCGAAGGCAAACGAAATGTTTTATTAAATTTAATTTAAAGAAAAAGTCCCTTAGCTAGCCATTAAAAAATTAATTAAATTGTATATGTGTTTGTGTGGCTGTCGGCCGTTCGTCAAAAAAGAAGTGTGCAAATCGTATGGGATTTTTAACAGGAAAATTAGTCATCCAACTCGTATCTAATGAGGGATTTGTAAAAGAAGTAATGCCATCATCATCATTGTTGACACTGTGCAATGACAGCCCCCCCCCCACGGTGGAATATTAATTAAATTATGAAATTAATTTGGATAATAAAATCCAAAGTCCATGCCACCCCTCGACAGAGTTAAGAACTTGGTATCACCGCATAGGTGGAAATCGGAAATCTACAAATTAGTGGTCTAGAACTGTTGCTGGGAAAAAAATTGATCGATTGATTGATTGCTGGGTGGTGGTCGGTGGGCCATAAAACAAAGTCATCCCCAAAGTGTGTGCCTGATTAGAACCTACATTTTTACATTAACAAAAATATACAAACAAAAAAGAATTGACAAAAGTCATTAGCAAAGACGACTGAAAAATAACACATTCCAATGAGAGAGGGAGACTTTAAAATAATTTGTAGTTCCCCCCCTTTGTCCTACATTGCTTGGTCGTGTTGCTGTTGTTGATCATCGACGACAACGCATTGCCGCCTCTGCAAGCAGAATTAGCCACCGCCGCCATCGTGCCATATAAACCAGTTTTGTTATTCTCCCCACAAACAACAGGCGTTTACGGGAAGCTACATAGGCAGGCCAGGCCAGGCAGGCACTCAGTCAGTCAACCATCCAGCCAGCCAGCCAGCCCAGATTTTTGAAGTACCTACCTTCTACTACTACTTCTACTTACTACGTTCGTCGTCGTTGTCGGTTGTTGTATTACGTTTTATGAATGCGTTTTTATATTTTTTAATTCTTAATTCCGATAATAAAAAGAGAGCAACGACACACACACGGTCGGTACCATCATAAACCAGCAGAAGAAGGAGGTGGTATCCCTCCCCCTCTTCCACAAAAAAAGAGAACTAAGCAAACACAACAAAAGAGAGAGAGAGAGAGTGAGAGAAGAACGCCAACAAATTCACAACAAATACAAATTTTAAATTGGTTTTTTTTTACTATTGTTATTATTATTTTCAACAATCTAAGTTTCAAGGAAACTTATTTGCAAATTGACTGAACATGGCTGAAGCTTTAGCCGAAGGACAAGTTCATGGTTACAGTGATGTAAGTAAAACGATAACAACAACAAAATTCATTATCCTTGACCAACTTCATAATACATAGTACCTACTACCAACCTATATTGGCTATAGTATTTTTTTCATAGTTCGGAAGATACGAGTGGCAGGTTCATTAAAAATTAAAAATGAAAAAATGAGAAATGTCAACAACACCCGTCTGTCCAATCTCATTTCCATTGTCAGCCATATAGCTAGCTACTAGCCATCATCAACAGTGTCAACATTACCCCAGAGGTGATAGCTGATATTGGTATTTAATTACCCTGTTTGGTTGAAAATTGTTTTTCGTCGTTTCGTTTCTCTTCATGAACAATGGAATTAAACATGACCTTATACGGGTTGGAAGGAGGAGACATTTTTATGTCTGGAAATAAAAAACGCAGAAAATTGCATAGTAATTTTAAATTATTTCGATTGATGTCTAGTCTAGGCGATTTTGCGCTAGGGAATATTTGAATAGAAATCCAAGGAAGCCGCTTCTTTCTTCAGAATGAGTTGTGAGTGCTATATATTATTTCATCTTGAGGCTTGAGGATTTAAGCCCTATATCCGACCTAAAATTATGGATCTTATCACGTGAAACCTGAATGAAAATCCTGAATTTTATACGAATATTGAAGCAATTACTGTGCAAATATTTATGCAAATACTGCGTAGGTCATCCTTAGGCCTTTTAAAGTTCTAGGGAAGACTATCTTTAGATCTATAAACGAGCAAGTTATGCTCCTTTTTTTGCGATAATTAATACAGGGTGAGATAAAAAAACCTGCAACAAATTCAAAAGCCAATTTTTTTTTAAATTTTATTTAAAGAAAGCAAAAAATGTCGGAAAGAATATTAAACTTTAGAATTAGTTTAGATTTGTTCGAATTGGTCACCTTTGGCACGAATTATGGCCTTCAAACGGCCAATGAAACCGTCACACGCTGCCCGAATGTTGCTCTGCGGTATTTTGGCCCATTCCTGGTGAAGCGCTTGCTTGAGATTATTGACATTTTGGTATTTTTTAATGCCAACCTTGCTTTCCAAAATACTCCAGATAAATTAGTCTAAAGGATTGGAATCTTGAGATTTTGGTGGCCATTGTGCGCTGGAAATAAAGCTATGAACCTCATTTTATAACCATTCTTGGGTGGCGCGTGCGGAGTGCGGTGGTGCTGAGTCCTGTTGGAATGTCCAAGGTCTGCGGCCAAAATGTTTGAGTGCTCAAGGCTTTAATACACCCTTCAGAATATTTTCGCGATGATGCCACGGTCGATTAATACGAGCGGAGAGCGACCATCGGCTGTTTTTTGCGGCCCTCACCATCACCATGACCGGCGCTTGAGTTGTGGTGGCCAACCGAAGGTGCACATTTTCAGCTGACCTCTTTGGCAAGTAAACACGATCATTTTGTTTGTTTACTGCTGTATCGAAGAAAACCAAATTCGGCAGTTCACCACTTTCGGACAAGCGAATCAACTCTTTAGGTCTTTTGAGTCTATTTTCTTTCTGTTGCGGTGTAAGTTCTTGCAATTTTTGGAATTTTAATGGCTTTACCCTGAGCTCATTTTCCAATATTTGCCGAATGGAATATTGCAATATGTTCAGCTCACAAGCCATTTTTCGGCCATTGCGACACGGGTTTCGATCAAGTTGCTTCTTTACTTTTCGAGTCATTTCTGCTGATGTTGCTGCTTTCTTCCGTCCACTTCCTTGCCGTTGGGCTAAGCTACCAGTATCACGGTAACGAGCGATGGTACGAGACGCAAAAGATTTATTCACATTTAAATGCTGGAGTGCTCCGACGATAACCACTTGTGGTTTTTCAACCAAATATAAAGAAATCACACTATCACGCTTGAATTCCATCACGAATAACTTTTTTTCTGGAAAATTCTCAAGAAAATGCTATGTCACTGTCACTGGAATAAGTTTAACAGCTTTCGGACGAGTGGCTTAGAAATGCCAGCAGTCTGAAGTTGGTTGCAGTTTTTTCATCTTACCCTGTATTTCCAAAAGAGCTTCCTTGCAATCAAAAATGGCTCCCGTTTTAATGGTATTTAACGACATATATGATCATTGTCCTTGTTGGGAATCTCTGCCTGAAACACGCAACAACAACTCATCAGTATTTATATTTCTAATAGTGAAATAAGGACAGAATACGCCAGTACCGGTGCTATCATCCATCTTGAATTGGTTTGTGTAAATAGATAAACCTTCGAAAGGGATTCCGACCAACCCAAACGTCCCTATCAGGTCACTTCACAATTATGAAGTTGAAGTTAAATAATGGGGTCATTTATATTTATTTTCAATTAATACAGTTACCTAGCCCATAGCACGATGGACGGCTCCAAAAACTTCTATACATAAATTACTCTAAATCACTAATTTTATTACCTTAACCTAAGGTATTTGGAATTATTGGTATGTCTAGGATTTGTGCATAACCAAAATGCAAAAAAGCAATACTCCTGTATTCTCAGTAGCCTTAGAGCTCTCATTGCTGCTCACAGTGCTAGAAATGCCAGTTGCTGGAATTTAAGCATCATTCAATCGGACATTAAATAAGATGCATAATTTGTTTACAAAAATACATGCACAAATTACTCAAATTCTATGCAGATCCTTTTGAGTTTCCTTTTGAGTGCAAAAAATGCTAAAAGACATAATATGGAGCACCACAGTGTGACTTTTGCTTTTAAAAAATTACGGATGACCGACCCATTGCCACATCCACTTCAGCTACACAAAGATTTTCATTAGGTCTTCTTGATATTGTATTTTAACGTACTATTACAATTTTGTATTCATCAGAGATGCGACAGGAAATTACTTTTGGGAACTCTATCGTTGTCCATTCCCTTGTTAGCTATTAGTCGTTTAGATTACTTCAGCTCTTCACTTTTTCTAATATTTTCCTCGTTCCGCTCTGCTAATTTTATTTTTATACCCTTAGCCATATGGCTAGAGAGGGTATATATCATTTGATACGGCCAAAACGTGCCTCATCGAAATAACGGCTTTAGACCCTAGGTCTCTTTGGAGTGGATCTAGCGATGTCCGTCCGTCTGTCTGGCTATGGTGCACGATAACTTTCCAAGGGAGTATCGGATTTGGTCCAAATTTGGTACATCGTAATATTACTGTCAAACTTAGATCGACTTCGGAAACAAGTAATGTCGATCCACTCCTTCTGGTACCGCCCCTACAAAATGTCAACATTTTCAAAGAAAATAATATACTGCACAGAAAGAGAATGGATAATCCAGTTTTTCTTCCAACTATACAAATCGTAATATTTGCATCAGTGCTAGATCAGGGGCGAAAATGGAGAATATCGGTCGGCTCCATCAAGTACCTTCCCCACAAAGGGGAAACATTTTGAATAATTATAACTCTTATAAAATGTTATGTAAGTGTATGTTTGATTACACATATCACAATATTTTTATTAACCCAAGGTCTGGTATAAAGGTAGAATATATCGGTCCACTCCTTCTGATACCTCCCCAAAAGGGTCAAAATTTTGAGTATCCCTGAAGCTCATAAACACGGAATTAACATCCGATTCCATTCAGACTTGGTAAATCTCAATGTTTCCATCAACACAAGATCTGTTATAAAGATGGTAGAGATCGGACCATTTCTTCTGGTACCTCCCCCACAAAGGGTCAATGTTTTGAAAAAAAAAAAAAAAAACGATTATGAAATCCGAAATAAGCATCCGGTTCTCTTAAAATTACACCCATCACAGAATTTTTATTAACCCACGGTCTGGCGTGAAGATGGAATATATCGGTCGACTCCTTCTGGCCCCACAAGGGTCAACATTTTGAATATCCATGAAGCTCATACAACACGAAATTAACATCTGATTCCACTCAACACAAGAACTGTTATAAAGATGGTACAGATCGGACCGTTTCTTTCTTCCTCCACGTAGGGTTCAAGATTTTTGAAAAAAAAAAAAACAAAACGCTCAAAGAATGCGAGATAAGCATCCAACTCTCTTCAAATTTCACACTTCCAAATATTTTTGCTAACAAAAGATCTGTTGTGAAGATGATATATATCTGCCAACCCCTTCTGGTACCTCAGCCACAGAGGGTCACAATTTTAAATACTTATATATGTCATAATTTGCGAAACAAGTCGGCTATTCTTTACAACTTGGTATATCTAAACATTTCTCTTAACCAGAAGTCTTATATGAATATGAAATTTATCTAAATTTATGATTTCGCATAAAGTTGGTAATAAATGTTCAATTTCCTTAAATTTTTGCACATACCAATATTTTTATCTGTATTAGATGAAGTATGAAAATGGTATACTTCGATTTGCTATACTGTTACCACTCGCATGTTTCCACATTTTCCAAAAAAAAAAAAAAAAATGCACATATCTCATATAAAGTAAAAGGAAGTAGTCGATATAGTCCAAATCTGGCACGTTGTAATATTTTCATCAGTCTTAGGTCAGAAGCTAATTGGTCAATATTGTCCAACTGCTTGGGAACCTCCCCCATAAAGGGTGATCTGTCGGCAAGACCGAATGCTACTATTTCACCATAGTATGGAGGGTATATTAAGTTTGTCATTCCGTTTGTAACACCTTGAAATAAACATTTTAGACCCCACAAAGTATATGTATTCTTGATCAGCATAAAATTCTATGTCGATTTAGCGATGTTCTTCCGCCGATCCGTCTGTAGAAATAACTCTAGCTTCCGAACGAAATGAAGTATATTGATAAAATTTTACTCAAATATATATTTAGTCTGCAAGACTTTTGGTATAGAAAATGGCCCATGTACATCCACGTTTTGGCATAGCCCCCAAATAACGGTAACTCCCGATATTCAGTATTTTGATGACTTTAGCGACATTATTCACCGGAATGGTTTCAAATTTGGTATTTGAAGTTCGAAATGGATACTACAGCCTGAGACAAAAAATTGTCTGTACAGGTCCACGTCTTCGTATAGCCCCCATATAACGGTATCTCCCGATATTCGGTACTTTGTTGATTTTAGGGACACTATTCGCCGGAATTATTTCATATTTTATATTTGAAGTTCGTAATGGATACTACAGCCTATGACAGAAAATTGTCTGTGCAGGTCCACTTCTTCCTATAGCCCCCATATAACAGTACCTCCCGATATTTGGTATTTTGATGATTTTAGCTACATTATTCACCGGAATTGTTTTAAATTTGGTATTTGAAGTTCGTAATGGATACTGCAGCCTATGGCAGAAATCTGTCTTTGCATGTATACTTCTTCGTATAACCCCCATATAACTGTATCTCCCGATCTTCGGTATTTTGATGATTTTAGCTACATTATTCACCGGAATTGTTTCAAATTTGGTATTTGAAGTTCGTAATGGATACTGCAGCCTATGACAGAAAATTGTCTGTGCAGGTCCACGTTTTGGTATAGCCCCCATATAATGGTACCTTCTATACCATACGGTATTTTGATGAATTTAGCTACATTATTCTCCGATTTTTTTCAAGTTTCGCATTTGAATATTGTAATGGCTTATAACGTTATACCCATATATAACGGCTACATCCGATATTTTTAAGATTTTAACGGAATTTTTAGCGGATTTTATTTTTTTAAAATTGCCAAATTAGTTCCATATGGTGGAGGGTATTCAACTTAGAGCTTTTTTACTTGTTTCTTTTTTTAAATTTTGTTAATGCTGGCCCACAGCTCTTATCACTTTTGCCTTGGAATTTAGCATAAATAAATGTAAATTTCCATCATTTCAAATGTTACCAAAAGATATTGTTGTTCTGTTTACAAATCTTTAGGTTTTTGTTTGTTTACATCATTACAAAATCAAGATAAACTCCGAACACGACCACGTGTAAATGTGGCTTTTTCATATTCACCTAATAATAAATGCTATAATTGCTATTAGCAAATTAAGTAAACAAAAAAAGTTAATAAATTAATTGAAGCAACAAAACATAGGTATCTATACATTGTGTGTGTGTGTGTTTTTTTTTTTCACCAAATCATTTCACACTTTCGATATATCTGACGAGAACTATGTTATGGAAATGTTATTGATCTTTTGCGTGTAAAGGAAGCATCGGTGTTCTTTGTTAACTGCGGCAAACGAATTAAAAAACAAACAATTTTCAAGGTTGATTTGTTTATAATAAACAAAATATCTGATGGTAGCGAACTTTACAAGATCACATTTTGGGTGGGGATTGTGTATGGTTTTGGGTTTTTTGGCTTTTCAGTCAGATTTGAGCAGGGGAATAGAGAAAACCTAGCCGATTATATATGAAATTTAATTCTATTTGTATGCCTTCCATCGTTATTCTTTCTAATTAATATTAATTGGTTTTTTTCTTTTCAGAATGACACCACTGACACATGCCACTTACGTATAGTTATAATAAATGGACAGTCACTGGCCAAAAAGGATATATTTGGAGCAAGGTATTTATTGGAGATCACACAGAAAATATTTTCAATTAAACAACTCTAATGTTTTTTCGATTCTTCTGCTTTCCAGTGATCCCTATGTCAGAATAGATTTGAATACCATAAATGGAGACATTAACATAGATTCAGTTTTAACCAAAACTAAAAAGAAGGTAAGAAAGGTGAATATCATATTGGACCACTTTGTGTATTCTAACAAAAATTAATATCGTTTACATTGCACACATAGACTCTAAATCCAACATGGAATGAAGAATTTGTATTTCGGGTAGGTTGAAAATCTCCAATTTTTTCTTTAAGCCTTAATTATATATTCCATTTTTGTCCGTTTGCTTTCAGGTAAAACCCACAGAGCATAAGTTAGTTTTTCAAGTATTCGATGAAAATCGCCTAACAAGAGATGATTTTCTTGGCATGGTCGAACTTACATTGGTCAATCTGCCAACAGAACAAGAGGGTCGCACGATAGCACCCCAAAGTTATCCTTTGAGGCCTAGAAGGTCAGTAGGGTATGTTTATTTTGGATTTTTTATTATTTAATTTCTGTTGTTTTTTTTTCTTTTTTCCTATTGATTTGTTCCACTGTGAGCGAGTGTTGAAACAAAATCTATCTAAGCCAGTATTTCCAAAAATCAAAAAAAAAAATAATAAATAATTTTTTTATTCAAAACGGGTAGTATTTAGTTGAATTATGTGTTCGTGTTTTATTGGTTTGTCTCAAATCATCCTATCTTATCATTTCCTTCATTATGATTTTCCATCTAGTTTTATTGTTTAAAATGTGTATTTTGTTTTATTTGTTATAATTAATTTAATTAATGTCATAGTTGAACCTATTTGCCCTATGTCCGACGCTGAAATGTTGCAAAGGAAAAATGTGTTGTGCTCTAAACAACCTGAAAAAATTCCCAATGCAATATTTCCGTGTTTGACACTTGGGCAGGGAAATAAAATAATTGTCTGTTAGTTCCAAATGTTAAAACATAAAAAAAATAATCAATCAATCTTATCAACCCCCAAAACAAAAATTTTGAAAAACTATAGCGCCAAATCCCGCATCAAAGGAACCTTGGAAATCTATCATGCATTTATACATGAGCAAAGGGAAACGGTTGAACCGGATACCAGTACAGGTGAATGGGAACATGTGGAAAATGTTTCAATGACAGGAGCAGCACCGGCGGTAAGTATACGATTTTTGTTTTCATTTTTTTTAGTATTTTTTGTAAATAATGAAATTTTTGTTTCATTGTAGAATGCCTTTGTTGCTAACGGCGGCAGCCATCACGATCCATTGCCACCCGGCTGGGAGGAGAGACAAGATGCCAATGGTCGAACGTATTATGTAAATCACACCGCTCGTACAACACAATGGGAAAGGCCTACAACGTACGTATAATTTAAAATTAATTATTTCAGTTTAAAATACCCTCCAATAAGTGGTGTAAGGCTTTATGGACTTTAAAAATTGGGTGTAGTGCTACTTGTGGGGATCTAGATTAGGTTGCAAATTGAATTTTTGAAAAAAGAAGGATTGAGAAATTACATTTTGGAAGATTTTAGAATGTTAATGGATTCTGCGTCTGATAAACAGGTTAGAGTATCCATCTAATATACGATGTAGTATAGGCCAATTACAAAAGCAAACGTTGCGCGTCTCTTATTCCTCCTTACCCCTGTGAGAACTTCTGTATACTACAGTAGTCAATTCCATTTTCATCCCATTTCGAGGCCAGATCAGACCATACAGTGAGTGACCAGTGATCAAAACCACTGCAATCCATATCTCTAAATTACTTAGTGAGAATGGCGTTTTGCCATCCCTGCTCGGTCTTCTCGAGCTAACATTTTTAAACACCTAATACCCCAGTTGTGGATTTACAGCTTTCTGAATCCGCATACCGGTTTACTGAGATTCTTCACGAGCTGAATAGTTTAAACAAAGCTCTTATATCATTAAGAGCAAGGCTCCAATCCAGTATAACTTTAGAGTTTATAGTACAGGGTGAGATAAAAAAACTACAACAAAGTCAAGGGCCATAATTTTTACATTTTAATTTTAATATTTTGAATTTTTTTTTATTTTTTTTAAATGAAAGCAGAAAATGTGGGAAATAGCATCAAATTTTAGAATAAGTTTAGATTTGTTCGAATTGGTCACCTTTGACACGAATTATGGCCTTCAAACGGCCAATGAAACCGTCACACGCTGCCCGAATATTGCTCTGCGGTATTTTGGCCCATTCCCGGCGAAGCGCTTGCTTCAGGTGATCGACACTTTTGCATTTTTTAGTGCCAACCTAGCTTTCCAAAATAATCCAGACACAATAGTACAACGGATTGGTATCCGGAGATTTTGGTGGCCATTGTGCGCTGGAAATGAAGCGAGGAACCTCATTTTGTAACCCTTCTAGGGTGTCGCGTGCTGAGTGCGGTGGTGCTGAGTCCTGTTGGAATGTTCAAGGTCTGCGGTCAAAATGTTTAAGTGCCCAAGGCTTTAATACACCCTCCAGAATATTTTCGCGATAATATTCGGCATTTATTCTGATGCCACGGTCGATTAATACGAGCGGAGAGCGACCATCGGCTATTGTGGCGGCCCACACCATCACAATGGTCGGCAATTGAGTTCTGGTGGCCAACCGAAGGTGCACATTTTCAGCTGACTGACCTCTTTGGCAAGTAAACACCATCATTTTGGTTGTTTACAAACTGCTGGACAACGAATGTTTTCTCATCGGAGAAAATCAAATTCGGCAGTTCACCACTTTCGGCCAAGCGAAGTAACTCTTTTGAGTCTATTTTTTTTTCTGTTGCGGTGTAAGTTCTTGCACTTTTTGGAATTTCAATGGCTTTACACCGAGCTTATTTTTCAATATTTGCCGAATGCAATATTGCGATCTGTTCAGCTCACGAGCCATTTTCCGGGCACTGCGACGCGGGTTTCGATCAAGTCGCTTCTTTATTCTTCGAACCATTTCTGCTGATGTTGCTGTTTTCTTCCGTCCACTTCCTTAACGTGGGGATATGCTACCAATATCACGGTAGCGAGCGATGGTACGAGACACAAAAGATTTATTCTCATTTAAATGCAGGAGTACTCCACCCATCACGAATAACTTCTTTTCTGGAAATTTCTCACCGAAATGCCTTTGTACGCTGGTAAACAATATAATGATTTTATAATTTTAACAGCTGTTGGACGGTGGCTTAGAAATGACAGTAGCCTGAATTTGGTTGCAGTTTTTCATCTCACCCTGTATTTCCCTCTAACTTGATGTTGATGTAACATTGGTCTTTTTAGGTATAATTTTGGTTCATCCAATCCAATGTTTCGGCTCAAATAAAGTCTTCCCAGTTTGGGTCAAATCAAATATTGAAATTGGAGATAATCGGTAAAAAAATAAGATATATCTCCCATATATATCTTCGTCCGCTTTGCCTTTTATTAGGCACCAAACGTCAATGTCAGCCCGAATAGTATGGAATTTTGCACATACAACCAAATTAGGCCTGAAAATAAGTGTGCCAAATTTGATCGAAATCGGGTCAGATTAGCCATAGCTCCCATATATATTGTTCATCCGATTTGTTATTTTTGTCCTCCGCAGCCGTAATATGCAATCTGTAACCACAATATTTGGGGAAATATATCAAATGCAGCTCAGAAATACCTTTGCTACATTTTATCGAGATCGGTTCAGATTTGGATATAGCTCCCATATATAACTTCGTCCGATTTACCTTTTATTGTACACCAAACGTCTAATAGTTGCCCAAATGGGAATTTGGCACATGCGACCGCATTGAGTATAGAAGCTAGTATGCCAAAATTGGTGAAGATCGGTCCAAATATAGCTATAGCTCCCATATATATTGTTTATCCGATTTGTTGTATTTGTTACCCACAACCGTAGTATGTACTCCGAAACAACGATATTCAGGGGAATTTATCAAATACAGCTCAGAAATATCTTTGTCAAATTTTATCGAGATCGGTTCAGATTTGGATATACATAGCTCCCATATATATCTTTATCTGATTTCAAATTAATTTTGCACCAAATGGGCAATACAAGTTCGCATTTAAAAGATACAAATGCTTCGGCATATTTAGTCCTTTGAACTTTAAATTACAATTATAATCATAGCGTGTATGATTAAATTCTCCCATAAAATCTGTTAATTTTTATGTGGAGCTCTACTAAATTAGCAAAGTGGTGCAGGGTATCATAAAGTCGGCCCCGTCCGACTTTAGGAGTTTCTTTACTGGTTTCTAAGTCTATTTAGGTCCGAAGAAGTCTATTTTGGATTTTAAAACTCTTTTAAAATAACCTTATTTCTTTTCAGAATGAATACCAATCATGCTAATATAAATATGGAAGCAGCAGCTTCAGATTTCCAAAGACGATTTCACATTAGTGTGGATGATTCAGAGACAAATCGTTCAAATGTAAGTATATAAATTTAATAATATACAACTAAGGGAGAATGGTATTACAACACAGGTGATTAACAGGAAATACAGTATTTAAGAGGGAGAAATGAGTTCGTAGGTATTTGGATAAAATATGACTTATTTTTTTTACATTTCAAAACAGCGCATTTTTAAGCAGCAAATTATTTTATTTAACATTTATTTTGCAAATCAGTTCGGCAATAGCATCAATGTTAGCAATAGTAATGATTGTGCCAATACCCTAAATCAAGGCAGTATTTCCGATACAAGCGTTCGGCGTTTTAGTACTTATCTATGTAGTTCGTTGAGCACCGAAAGCAGTACGAGCAATGAGAGTGGTGGTAGTGATGCTGCAGCCAGTGGTGAAATCTGTTGCGAATGTGGTATGGTACATTATAGCTCTGATGATGATGGCTTGGATTCGGATAATAATAATGGTGATAAGAGGACAAATGCACTAATGACATGCCATGGTGGCCATCAACAACATTCGTCGTCGTCATCGTCGTCGCATCATCGCAATCGTAGAGCATCACATAGCGATATACTCGACAAAAATTTACATCTGGATCGTATCTTTGTATGTGTGGAAGTTTCTCATTTTTTTCTCTCTCTCGGTGTTATTATGACATTTTATTCACTCTACTGTACTGCTCGGCTAATAGATATTTTCCTTGTTTTTCTGTATTGCTAAGTTTTCCCCCATGCCTCTGAAATATGTAATTGATGCTGTGAACATTTCCATTTTATATAGGATACATTAAGCCTGGCTAGTAGTACCGAAGAGAATACCGCAACAACAACAAATAGTATTACACCATTAAGATCTGCCAACACCAATGAATCCTCCTCCTCCTCCACCTGTCCCATCCATCAAAATAATAATAATAATGATGGTAACAATAATGCTGATGATGATGAAAATGACAATGATGCTGTCATTGATCCCACGACGGAAGATCATCGTATCAGGTTGTTGAGCACCCATATTTACACTATTCACATGCAAATTATTCACAACATTAAGAAGTCAATTTTTATAATTAGTTCTAATTTCAATGAAAATTTTACTTACGGTTTTTATATCCTCCACCATGGATAAGAATTGGAATTTAACCACTGCTAGATCACATGTAAAGAACTCTATCGGCAAACTTTCCTTGGGCTCCAAAGCGGTCTAAGTTGAATATTTTTAGAAGATATTAGAAAAATTATTATTTTGTAGATCAGAAAAGAAACACTTTTTGGATACTTTCCAGCCCACTAAGAGAGTCTTACCTGTTCCTTAAAGTGTGGTCAATTATATTTTTATACCCTCAGCCATATGGCTAGAGAGAGGGTACATATCAGTTGATAAGTGCCTCATTGAAATAACGGCTTTAGACAGCTAGGTCTCTTTGGACCAAATCCGTTTCAGGACATTTCAGGACTTTGGAGTCGATCTAGGGATGTCCGTCCGTCTGTCTGGCTGGCTGGCGGGTGGGCACAATAACTCCCGAAGGGAGTATCCCATTTGATTCAAACTTGGTACATAGTTATATTATTGTCAAACTTAGATCGAGTTCAGATATGGGCAATATGGGTCCACTCCTTTTGGTACCTCCTCCACAAAATGTCAATATTTTCAAAGAAAATAATTTATTGCACAGAAAGAGAAAGGATAATCCGATTTTGCTCCAACTTTGGGTATCCTAATATTTGCATCAGTGCTAGGTCAGGTGCGAAAATAGACAATATCGGTCCACTCCATTAAGTACCTCTCCCACAAAGGGTCAAAATTTTGAATAATTATAACTCTTATAAAATGTGATGTAAGTGACCGATTGTCTTCAAATTACACACATAACAATATTTTCACTAACCCAAGGTCTGTTGTGACGATGGAGTACATCGGTCTACTTCTACTGGTACCTCCCCCACAAAGGGTCAAAATTTTGAATCTTCATGAAGCTCATAAAACACGAAATTAACACCCGATTCCATTCAGACTTGGCATATTTCAATATTATTGTCAGCAAAAAATCTGTTGTAAAGATGGTAGATATCGGACCATTCCTTCTGGTACCTCCCTTACAAAGGGTCAAAGATATGAATAACAAAAACGATCACAAAATCTGAAATAGCATCTGGATATCTACAAATTGCGTACAGCACAATATTTTTATTAACTGAAGGTCTGGTGTGAAGATGGAATATATCGGTCTACTTCTTCTGGTACCTCCCCCACAAAGGGTCAAAATTTCGAATCTTCTGGAAGCTCATAAAACACGAAATGAACATTCGATTCCATTCAGACTTGACACATCTCAATATTTCTATTACTATAAGATCTTTTTAAATACGGTAGACATTGGACCATTCCTTCTGGGACCTTCCTAACAAAGGGTCAACATTTTGAACGCTCATGAAGATCATAAAACACGAAATTAACATCCGATTCCATGCAGACTTGGCACATCTCAATATTTTTATCAGCCCAAGATCTGTTGTAAAGATGGTGGAGATCGCACCATTTCTTCTGGTACCTTCCCCACATAGGGTTCAAGATTTTGAAGAACAAAACGCTCAAAAAACGCGAAATAAGCATCCAAATCTATCCATCCATCTCCTCAAATTTCCCACACGCAAATATTTTTGCTAACATAAAATCTGTTGTGAAGATGATATATATCTGCGAACCCCTTCTTGTACCTCACCCACAAAGCGTTACAATTTCCCATACTTATATCTGTCATAACTTGTGAAACAAGTCGGCGATCCTTTCTTTTAACCAGAAATTTGATATGAATGTGTAATTTATCGGAATTTTTGATTTTGCATAAAATTGGATATAAATGTTCGATTTCCATCAATTTTTGCACATATCAATATTTTTATCTGTTTCTGATGAAGTATGAAAATGGAATACTTCGGTCTGCTATATCTGTTACCTATCGCACATATCCACATTTTTCCAAAATTTGCACATATCTCATAAAAAGTAAATAGGAATTAGTCGATATAGTCCAAATCTGGCACGTTGTAATATTTATATCAGACTTAGGTCAGATACGAATTGATCAATTTTGGACAATTGCTTCGGAACCTCCCCCATAAAAAGTCAACAGTTTGAATAATCATAAGTCAAGGCTGGGGGTATACATCTTTCGGCAAAACCGACTGATACTAGTTTACTTGTTTTGTACCATGAGTGGAGGCTATAATTTAATGCCGTTTTTTATGTTGTTTTTCCATGACTTTGTTGTGAATAGTCGATCTTAAGAAATTTTATTTTTATTTTAAATTTCTGTTTAATAACTGAGAGTGGTAACTGAATTTCAATAGATATTTATACAATTCCCTGCGACATCCGACAAGCCGTCTTGAAATTTCGGCAACATCTTTACAGAATGATTTAAGGCCTGTGCGTCAAATAAACGATCCCGATTATATAATAGAGCGGATAAGGTTGGTTGGATTCTATGAATCAATATCGAAGAACACAAACTTTTCTCTCATGGCATTTTTTCGCATAAATGAATTTTTCGAAATTTTCAAAATGCACTTTAAATATTTTATAAACTTGCACAACAATAACGTATCACTCGATTTGGAACAACTGATTGTGAATAGCTTTTATGTGAATAGTGTAATTTGGGAGATTTTTTTTTCACCAAAATTAACACCGATAGTTTTAAATAAATTTTTGCTTTAATTAGATTTCCAAACGGCCAACCCTTATCTCGACAGGCATTGGAAAATTTACGCAATCGCAATAATTCGTCAGGACAAACATTTAGAGAGTCATCGGTTTGTAAAATTTTTATTTTATTTTATTTTTTGTGAAATATTTTCCATTGAACTCACCTTAAAAACCAAATCGCCACTAATGAAAACAAACTCTGTTCTCCGTTGTCTCATTGTCTTTTTTTATTTTGATTTTCAAAAGAAATGTGTTCTCGTCGTATTTTTTTCATACTTGTTTGTCAATACTAAAATGTCCTTTGCGGTTAATACTATTAATACTATAAGATGTTTGGAATTTTAAGACCATGGATTTCATAGAGGGAGCCTAAGCACAGTATGACTTAGAGACTAAGGAAGTGAGAATTTAAATATTTTGCAATTGTAATTTAAGAAGTGCTTCAGCCAGACCTATTTCATAGCAAAGGCCGTAGGTTTTAAGGAAAAGGAGTTTGTGTCTTCTTTTAAAAAATCTAGAGCCTCACCTTTACTGAGCCCATATACTAGTGCATGTGTCAGTGGTGGTAATTCTGGAGTAAGGGAGGGACAAAGTTCTGTGTCCAAAGATTTCTGTATTTCAATCCCTGACTGCACTTTTTATTAACCAATCAGTTTTAAAAACCCCAGCTCCTACACCCTTTTTCCCATCATGGATCTATCTGATCAATTTTGTGATAGAAGTCTTCAATTGTGAAAGGGTTTCCTAAAAATATATCGACCTCAGTCAAATTAGGAACAATTCTCTCAGTCTCACAGTCTCTAATGAAATAATGTTATGCTATAAGAATCCAGTGCTCAGATAGGCTCGCGACTGAAACCACCTCTCCATTTTTATTTGATTGCTCCCATATATATAAATTTGATATAACTCCCATATATATCTTCGACCGATTTGCCTTTTATTGTGCACCAAACGTGTAATATTAGCCCAAATGGTATGGAATTTGGCACTTACGACCAGAATGAGTCTAGAAACTACTATGTGAAATTTGGTGAAGTTCGGTTCAGATATTGCTATGGCTCCCATACATATTTTTTATCCGATTTGTTATATTTGTTCTCCACAGCCGTAATACGCACTCCGTAGCTCCAGCTCAGAAATACTTTTGCCAAATTTTATCGAGATCGGTTCAGTTTTGGATATAGCTCCGATATATATCTTTATCCGATTTCAAGTTAATTGGACACCAAATGGGTAATAAAAGCCCGAATTGAATAGACACATGTCTCGACGAACTTAGTCCTTTGGACTTTAAGTTAAGACTATAATTATAGTTGCTACGTTTTTATTCTCACCAATTCCCCATAAAAACTTATGTATGTTATGTAGCCGATTTTTTCTGCTCCGAGGAGGGCTCCCGCTCATATTAGAGCTAATTTCACTCTTTACTTGAATTTGAGCGATCAGATACCACAATAAGGCCAAATTTCTCAGATAATGTATCGGAACTAGCGAATAAACGTGATGAATTTCCCCGGTTTAAGCCTATTGACCTCAAAGTCAGGGATCTGACATTGTTGGAGCTCAACACATTGATAGAGGAGCATGAGCGGAAAATGTCGATAGCCCAACTGAGTGGTTGGTAACTGATATGAGTAAATCGTTTACAACAAATACATAGCGAATGCTGGGAAAAATAATGACAGGACCTCAGCCACGTATAACAGCGAACCGTAAGTGATCTTAGATGATTCGCGGACGGTATGTTGTGCACCTTAGAGCGATAGGGCGTTGGGAAAAAGGGAGTGCATGGTCGAGTGTCGAGTTACGTCAGCATAATCATATGCTTTCGTTGCAGTAACTGCTTGGGTGTTACCGTGGAAGTAATCATAGCCATTATATGGTGGACAGAACAACCCAGGCGTGTTAGGAAGGACCTACATGATCCAGAGAGAGGTGCAACGGCACAAGAGAGAGCCTCTAGATCAGGAAGCCTATTAATAGCATTAATACTGTTGCAGTCGCTGATTAAGTTAATCATTGCAGCAGAAGAACGTTGATAATGATTGAAATTCATACTGATGCAGTCGCTGATGTAGTTAACCATTATAGTATGAATGCAATACTTGGGGGCTATTAAAAAACTTGGACCTATATTGACAAGGTCTGGTGTGAAGATGGAATATATCGATCCACTCCTTCTGGTACCTCCCCCACAAAGAGTTAAAATTTTGAATATTCATGAATCTCATAAAACACGAAATTAACATCCGATTCCATTCAGACTTGGCATATCTCAATATTTTTTTATCAAAGCAAGATCTGTTAAAACGATGGTAGAGATCAGACCTTTCTTTATGGTACCTTCCACAAAACCATCGTAAAATCCGAAATAAGTATACGTTTCTCTTCCAATTACACACATCACAATATTTTTGTTAACCCACTCCTTTTGGTACTCCACCACAAAGGGTCAACATTTTGAGTAACCATGAAGTTAATAAAACACGAAATTAACATCCGATTCCATTCAGACATGTTGCATCTCAATGTTTCCATCCATACAAGATCTGCTATAAAGATCGGACCATTTCTTCTGGCACCTCCCCCACATAGGGTTCAAGATTTATAAAAAACAAAACGCTCAAAGAAAGCGAGATAAGCATCCAACTCTCTTCAAATTTCACACATCGAAATATTTTTGCTAACACAGAATCTGTTGTGGAGATGATATATATCTGCCAATCCCTTTTGGCACCCTCACCCACAAAGGGTCACAATTTGAAATACTTATATCTATCATAACTTACGAAACAAGTCGACGATTCTTTACACATTGCTATATCTAAATATTTCTCTTAACCAGAAATCTGATATGAATATGTTATTTATCGGAATTTTTGATTTTGCATAAAATTGGATATAAATGTTCGATTTGCTTCGAATTTAGCGCATACCAATATTTTTTATCTGTATTAGATGAATACTCCGGTCCGCTATATCTATATACCTCACGCATATTTCCAAAAATTTGCTCATATCTCATATAAAGTAAGTAGGAATTAGTCGATATAGTACAAATGTGGCACGTTGTAATATTTTTATCAGTCTTAGATCAGTTACGAATTGATCAATATTGGCCAACTGCTTCAAAACCGATCCCATAAAGGGTCAACAATTTGAATAATCATAACTCAGGGCTGGGGTATTAGATGAATACTTCGGTCCGCTATATCTATTACCTCACCAAAATTTCCACATTTTCAAAGATTTGCACATATCTCATATAAAGTAGATAGGAAGTAGTCGATATAGTCCAAATCTGGCACGTTGTAATATTTTTATCAGTCAGATACGAATTAGTCAATATTGTCCAACTTCTTCACAACCTTCCCCCTAAAGGGTCAACAATTTGAATAATCATAACTCAAGGCTGGAGGTATAAATCTGTCGGCAAAACCGGATACTAATAAACCGGACCTGATACTAATTTAATTGTTTTATAAATATTTATAAAAATTCCTCGTCATTTGCTATTTTGAAAAAATTCCATTTTGATTACCAATTACTCCATTCCAAAGTCATAAGATACCATTTAAAATCCCAGTTCGTCATCCTCAAAAACATACATTTTTAATTTTCATTAATTTCTTTTTTGAAATCAATAACAATTTGGAAATGAATTCATTTTGATCTGTCGTCGAAAAACAGATGTTAAATATGGGTGTTTCCACTTTGTCACAATAACATTTTGCACTCTTTAACAAATTTCGGAAATTGTTGCACACATATCGCTCCCTTTCATCAGATCTCAAGTAGAAGTAGAAAATTCGCTATGTTATTCTTTCATTGTTAGAGAAAACCTGGTATATTTGCATTTGATTAAAAAATGTTCCTAATGTACTGTGTGTGTGTGTCTGTCGTCTGTTATTGAACCAACGAGGAGATCATATGGTGGAAAACCTTCGAAATCCATCCCAGTAGAAAATGTAATGATGTCGAGCTTTTTTGTATCATTATTCTAATGGTTTGTAGTTTTGAATAACGTCCATCGAAGAGATCTACTTTTGTTTTGTCTACCGTGTTTTGAAACGTGATGAAGCTAGTTACTAAAATATCGCTACTGAGTATTGCTTAAAATGTTTTCAATATTTTCTAATATTTTGTTAATAAAACAAATCCTTTCTAATATTCCCAGCAGAATGAAGATGGTGATCAAACAGATAGCGGAAATCGTTCACAGACGTCGGCATCATCGACACGACGGAATTCGGTGGAGGATAATAATGCAGCTACAACAGAACCGGTAAGAGCTCTAAGCAATCCATTTTTAACAATAAAACAAAATAATTTCAATTTCCCCTTTCCCTTTGCCAGGCTGCTGCCAACACAGACGAGGAGCCCCTACCGCCACGATGGTCCATGCAGGTGGCGCCCAATGGTCGTACCTTCTTCATAGATCATGCCTCGAGGCGTACAACATGGATAGATCCACGTAATGGCCGGGCCAGTCCAATGCCAAATCAAACCCGGCGTGTTGAGGATGATTTGGGACCATTACCCGAGGGCTGGGAGGAGCGTGTACACACAGATGGTCGTGTATTTTACATTGATCATAGTAGGTTTTACAGATTGACTAATACATTGAATTTTTATTTAAAAAAAAAATATTTCCCATTTTGCAGATACACGAACAACCCAGTGGGAAGATCCACGCCTATCAAATCCCAATATTGCTGGACAAGCTGTACCCTATTCAAGGGATTACAAACAGAAATACGAATACTTTAAGAATCATCTTAGGAAGCCTGTAAGTACTGAATTATTTGTTATGGAGTTATTCATTTAATGTACCCACATTGTTTTTTTTTTTTTATTTTCCAGACCAATGTACCCAACAAATTTGAAATTCGTGTTCGCCGTACATCAATATTAGAAGATTCTTATAGAATTATCAGCCAAGTAACCAAAACGGATTTATTAAAAACCAAATTATGGGTAGAATTCGAGGGAGAAACGGGTTTGGGTAAGTGGCCAAAAAATCGTATTCAAAAAGATCTTCATTGTATTCAGGGACTCTCGAAGGGTTTGCTTCCAGAGGAACTTATTTAGGGAAGTTGTCTATACATGAGGCCTTTTTTAATACGTCTGACCATAGAAGTTTTTTAATAGGCCTTTTCACGAGGTTTTTATATTCAAAAAGTCATTTAAAATAGTCTTCAACACATAGATACGCTTTAGATGGTATTTTATAGAATATGAAGACCTCTAGACAGTCTTGCATCATTGGAAGGAATTCCTCTACCCATAGGAGACCTTTTAAAAGGTCTTCTATTCAAAATGTAGTTAACAAAGCCTTCAACGCATTCGAAGTTCTTTTGAAGAATATAGGAGACCGTTGCACAGTCTTACATCCTTAAAAGACAGTTTATCATTATAAGTCCTTCACGTGGCCTTTAATCCATAGAATACCTTTAGTTAGTCTTGTACACATTGATGTTTTTTAGAAGGTCTTCCATCCATAGAACCTTTAGACAATCTTACACCCTTGGAAGAACTTTCGAAGATCGTTTATCCGTAGAAGATATTTTTGGTGACATTTGGAAGGTATACTATTCATAAAATATCTTTAGAAGGTCTTCTATTTATAGAGGATTGTTAGAATGTCTTCTATCGATAGAAAACCTCTAGAATGCCTGTCATGCTTGACAGAACTATTGAAGGTATTTTATTAGTAGAGGACTTTTCGAAGGTCGATAGACGACATTTTAAATGTCCTTTTGAAAGTTTACTTTTCATAGAAAACCTTTTGAAGATCTTCTGGCCATGGAAGCATTTTATCCTTAGAACCCATTTTTCAAGCACTCAGTCCATAGAGAGACTTATGAAGGTCTTCTATTCATAGAATAGCTTGGAATTTCTTCTATCTGAAGAATACCTTTGGAAGGTCTTCTGTCCATTGAGAGCTTTATGAAGGCCTTTTATCGTTAAACGGCCTTTTAAAGGTTTCCTCTACTAGAAGACTTTTTCATTATTCTAGAAGACCTGTTTATACCCTCCACCATTAATTATATCGAGGGTATATTAGCTTTGTCATTCCTTTTGTAAATCCTCGAAATATTTATGATAGACCCCACAAAGTATATATTCTGGATCAGCGTAAAATCCTAAAAAGATTTAACGATGTCCGCCCGTCTTTGGAAATCCTCTAGCTTCCGAACGAAATGAAGTAGATTGATAAAATTTTACTCAAATGTATATTATGTCTGCGGGACTTTTGGTATAGAAAATGGGCCATAAATGTCCACATTTTGGAGTAGCCACAATATATGGTACCTCACTATTTTCGGTATTTTGGTGATTCAAGCTACATTATTCACCAGAAATGTTTCAAATTTGTTATTTGAAGTTCGTAACGGATACAACAGCATAAGACAATAAATTGTCTGTGCAGGTCCACGTCTTCGTATAGCCCCCATATAACGGTACCTCCCGATATTCGGTATTCTGATGATTTTAGAGATATTATTCACCGGAATGGTTTCAAATTCGGTATTTAAAGTTCATAATAGATACTACAGTCTATGACAAAAAATTGTCTCGGCAGGTCCACGTTTTGGTATAGTTCCATATAATGGTACCTGTATTCGGTATTTTGATGATTTTAGCTACATTATTCACCGGATTTCTTTTTAAGTTTCGTGTTTGAATATAGTAAAGCTTTATGAAAAAATTTGCCTGTGAAGGTCCACGTCGTCGTACATTCGGTATTTTTAAGATCTTAACAGAATTTTTAACGGATTTTATTTTTTTTTGAAAATAGCTAAATTCATTCCAAGTGGTGGAGGGTATTCAAAGTACGGCACGGTCGAATTTACAGCTTATTTAGTTTTTACAGTTTTCAATCCGTAGAAGGTTTTTTGAAAATATTATATCCATAGAACCCCCATTGAAAAGTCCACTATACGTAGATGAATGTTTTATGTTAATAGAAGGTCTTATAAATGTCCATAGAGGACTTAATAAAAGTCTTCTATCCGTATTAGACCTGATGGTCATCTGTCTGTATAGGACCTTTTGAAGGTAATATATCCTTAGAAAACCTTTTCAAGGTATTTTATGCATAGAAGACGTTTGAAGATATTCTATCCACAGAAGAACTTCTTTTATACTTTGAAGACCGTTCGATGCAAACATTTTTGTAGGTCTCCTACCCTTAGATGGCTTTATGAAGTCTGTAATTGTTCGTCTTTTATCTTAGAAGACCTTTTGATGACTTCTATCCAGGAAGATCTTAGAAAGTGAAAGTCTCCTGTCCACAGAATGCCTTTTGAGCATTCCTACCATAGAAGACTTTTTGAAGGTCTCCTATCCTAGAAGACCTTTTGAAGCTCTCCTTCCTATAATAGCCCCTATCAAGGGCTTTAATCCATGAAGATCTTTTGAAGGTAATTTATCTTATTCTACATCTTTTGAAGGTATCCTACCCTATGAAGGACTTCTATCCATCAAGAACTTTTGAAGTTCTCCTTCCTATGAGGGCCCCATCAAGGGTTTTCGTCCATGAATATCTTACGATATTTACGATATTTTATCATTTGAATTCATTTTAAAGTTCTCCTATCTTAGATTTACCTTCAAACAATCTCATAAAAGGCCCTATGAAGGACTTCTATCCATAAAGACCTTTTCTCTAAAGCCCCTTTCCTATGAAGCCCCTTATCATGGGTATCCATCCTATTAAAGCCCATATCAAGGGCTTTTATTCACGAGTATCTTTTTACGAACTTTAATCATTGGAAGACCTTTTAAAGGTCTTCTATGCATAGAAGAAGAAGGTCTTCTATCCAATTCTTTTGAAGGTTTCCTATCTAAGAAAGATGGATTCATAAGGGTCTTTTGACTGTCTGCGACGTAGACCTCTAGACACTCTCCAAATATTAAAGATCCCTAAAAAGGCGTTTCGCTATTGTCTTCCATGTACAAAAGACCTTTTGGTGTTCTTCCTTGTTTCGTTATTTTCTCCCCCGAATTTTTGAAATTTTTGAAGCATACTTTTAGGGTTTTTTCTAATGAAGTTTTTTTTAATCTTTACAGATTATGGTGGTTTAGCCAGAGAATGGTTCTATTTGTTATCCAAAGAAATGTTCAATCCCTACTATGGCCTATTTGAGTATTCAGCCATGGATAATTATACTTTACAAATCAACAATGGCAGTGGTCTGTGCAATGAGGATCATTTACACTATTTCAAGTGAGTTCTTGGAAATTCTTTTAATTTTGGAAGACATTTGATTTCCTTTTTTTCTTCCTTTTCTTAATAGATTCATTGGTCGCATTGCCGGCATGGCTGTCTATCATGGTAAACTACTGGATGCCTTCTTTATACGTCCCTTCTACAAAATGATGTTGGAGAAACCCATCGATCTCAAGGACATGGAATCAGTAGATACTGAATATTACAATTCATTGGTGTGGATCAAGGAGAACGATCCCCGGCAACTGGAGTTGACCTTCTGTGTGGATGAGGACACGTTTGGACAAAAGAGTCAACATGAATTGAAACCGGGCGGTGCCAATATTGAGGTGACCGATGAAAATAAGGATGAATACATAAAACTGGTGATCGAGTGGCGTTTTGTGGCCCGTGTCAAAGAACAAATGACTGCGTTTTTACAAGGTTTTGGTTCAATAATTCCCTTGAATTTAATTAAAATCTTCGATGAACATGAGTTGGAGCTGTTGATGTGTGGCATACAAAATATCGATGTGAAGGATTGGAGAGAGAATACCCTCTACAAGGGTGACTATCATCAGAATCATATTATTATTCAATGGTTTTGGCGTGCCGTCCTTTCGTTCCCCAATGAAATGCGTTCACGTTTGCTGCAATTTGTTACGGGTACATCACGTGTCCCCATGAATGGTTTCAAGGAATTGTACGGCTCAAATGGTCCACAAATGTTTACCATTGAGAAATGGGGCACCCCCAACAATTATCCTCGGGCGCATACATGGTAAGGAGGAAATTTAATACAGTTTTGGGTTTTATTTCAATTATTTGTTGTTTTTTTAATTACAGCTTCAATCGCCTGGATTTACCACCCTATGAGGGCTATTTACAATTGAAGGATAAACTAATCAAAGCCATCGAAGGCAGCCAGGGCTTTGCCGGTGTCGATTAAAAAAAAAAAACAAAACCAAACAACAATAACAATACGTTTCTATGCGTTTTTGGTGTTCACACAATCAAAAGAGAAAATGAAAGAAAAACTAAAGAAAACAAATGAAAAAAGTGATGGTGTCGCTCCTATGGTGGACCACATAGCGACAATCATTATTCCTATATATATTTATATAAATAAAACAAATCAAGGCAATTCTTGCAAAAAATAAAAACAAAAACTTAACAACGCCAATGCCCATAAATGTTGCAGTCTACGAATGTTTCTTTCGGAAAATAAAAAACCATCATCATACAACGAAGACTAAATGAAATAACACAATAGACGCGTAATTAAGTCGTGGCCTTTTTCCAAAAAACAAAAACAAAAACTAAAAACTAAAACAAAAAGCAAACAAACCATCAAAATTGTACTTATTTATTTGCCTGTTTCCCCTTTCTTGTTTTATTTTCCTTTTGTATAATCATTATTTTTAATAATATGTTTATAATTACAAACAAACAAACAAACAAAAAACATACAAATAAATGCAGACGCAATAACTATAGAGAAATAAATTATTTGACAATTTCAAACAAACTATAACTAAAATTAAAATATGTGCGTTTTTAATTACAGGGAATATTAAAATATTTCAAGAGGCTAAACTAGTTTTAAGGGAAGAACCACGATCCCCCAAGAAAGGCACGTACAGGGCGAGATAAAAAACGACATCAAAATCAAACGCCATAATTTTTGCTTTTTTTTAAATTTTATCGAATGAAAGCAAAATATGTCGGAAATAGCATCAAATTTTTCAATCAGTTTAGATTTGTTTCAATTGGTCACCTTTGGCACGAATTATGATCTTCAAACGACCAATGAAACCGTCACACGTTGCCCGAATGTTGCTCTGCGGTATTTTTGGCAGCGAAATATGTGCCGCGTGTCATGTGGACCTGTGCGGCATGCTGGGCAGATGTTCTGCACGTCGCCCAGTAGAAATTTAGGCGGCTGCACCATCCGGATCGTAATTGAGCCAAAACTACTCGGGTTTGTCGGGGCAGTTCTCGTTCTTCACAGCTGCGACGGGAGGGGGATGGTCTCCTAGCACAGGATTCACTCTATACCCTTCAATGGCTTCTGAGACCGCATTAGAGTGAATACTATTTAGTCCCGCTTGATATGCGTGTTGATCTAAAGGCTCTCTCTTATACCTCTGTAACTCTCTCTCTAGATCATGAAGGTCTTTCCTAACGTACCTGGGCGGAGGTTGCCTATCCACAAGATGGTGATTCAGATGGCTTTGTCTATAATCGCATTTGTCTATAATCGTAATCGCATCCACCACAGATCGCTATTTTTTAGTGCCAAACTTGCTTTCCAAAATACTCCAGACACAATAGTCCAACGGATTGGTATCTGGAGATTTTGGTGGCCATTGTGCGCTGGAAATGAAGCGAGGAACGTCATTTTGTAACCATTCTTGGGTGGCGCGTACTGAATGCGATGGTGCTGAGTCCTGTTGGAATGGTCCAAGGTCTTCTGCCAAAATGTTTGCGTGCCCAAGGCTTTAAAACACCCTCCAGAATATTTTCGCGATAATATTCGGCATTTATTCTGATGCCACGGTCGATTAATACGAGCGGAATAGTCCAGCGGATTGGTATCCGGAGATTTTGCTAGCCATTGTGCGCTGGAAATTAAGCGAGGAACCTCATTTTGTAACCATTCTTTGGTGGAGCGTGCTGAGCCCTGTTGGAATGTGCAAGGTTTGCGGCAAAATGTTTGCTTGCCCAAAGCTTTTATACTCCCTCTAGAATATTTTCGCTATATTATTCGGAATTTATTCTGATGCCACGGTCGATTAATACGAGCGTAGAGCGACCATCGGCTGTTATAGCGGCCCACACCATCGCCATGGCTGCGAATACTAGTGCTACGCAGTGGAAGCATATCCAGACCTGCCAGAGCGCTGCCCTGAAACTGCGACCATCTACATGAGGAAGCGAAAATCCTTCCCTTACGTCAGCATATGCTTTCATATGCTTTCGTTGCAGTGCCTGCTTGGGTTTTATCGTGAGAGTCATCCCAACCATCATATGGTGGATAAATCTCCCCACCCAGGCGTGTCAGGAAGGACATACATGATCTAGAGAGGGAGTTCCAACGCTACAAAAGAGAACATCTGGATCAAGAAGCATATCAGGCAGGTCTGAGTGGCATTCATACCGATGCAGTTGCGGATGCTATTAGCAATTACGTTTAGGATGGTGTAGTCGTCTCAAATCGTATTGGACACGAATTTATGAAGATGTGCGTGACGCCTGCCCGGCGTGTGATACAGGCCCGCCAATAAGCTGCACCTCTTTAATTGCACAACCAAACGTACCCAACTCACTACAGAAGATCTCTGGCTACAGTCCATTAAAGTAGTCGAATTTTTAAACCTGGAGCTGGAACCAGATTAGCAGAACGCAAACACTTGCATGTACTAGTGCTAAAACCACAACAACCATGGCCGGTGCTTGAGTTCTGGTGGCCAACCGAAAGTGCACCTTCAGCTGACCTCTTTGGCAAGTCAACACGATCATTTTTTTTGTTCACAAACTGCTGGGCAACGAATGTTTTCTCATCGTAGAAAACCAAATTCGGCAGTTCACCACTTTTGGCCAAGCGAAAACTCTCAGCAAAATGCTTTGGTACGCTTGTAAACAATATAATGGGCTGTAAGTGGAAAAATTTTAACAGCTGTCGGACGAGTGGCTTAGAAATGACAGCAGTCTGAAGTTGGTTGCAGTTTTTTCATTTCACCCTCTATACGTCAATGTCTGCTCTACGTGAGCCCAAACCATATTTTCATATTTCTTGCCATTGTTATATTCGCCAGAAATTCGGTGGCGTCTAGAATATTGCAGAAATAATATCAAGTTTCGATGTTGTGATAATCTCTGCCTAAATTAAAAATACATTCTTTTTATCATACGACCATACTATTTAAATGAATTCAATGATATTTGAAAGATTGCAGAAAACAAAACACTTGTTTCTTGAAATATACTTTTTTTCGTTAATATTAGATAAGGTGTTCCTTACCTTGGGGGGTAAGTATGATTAGGCAAAAGAGATTACTCCAATACTTAAGAACATTTCTGTGACTTAATGGAATTTTTTGGAGGAACATCTAAAATATGGTATCATGATTCGATTTCTGGAATCAGAATTGGATATATTTCTCTTTTTTTGATACACAGATGTTTCTTAAGCAGAATGCTCTTATAATTATATTTTCAAAATTCTATAACATTTTCCATAAAATTATTACTCAATTTTAGGATATATGGGGTTGGCAGCATATTTTCTGTGTGGTGCATAGCGCCTTCCTGTTGGAGCCACAAATTTTTTAATACCCTTCTGTACAAGGTGATGAAAAAAAATTCAAAGACTGCTATCATTTCTAAGCCATTCGTCCGACAGCTGATAAAATAATTATAATATAAAAATAATAATTATATTGTTTACAAGCGTACAAAAGCATTTTGGTGAGAATTTTCAAAAAAAAAAAAAAAGTTATTTGTGATGGAATTCAAGCGGGGTAGTGTGATTTCTTTTTATTTGGCTGGAAAACCACAAGTGGCTATCGTTAGAGCACTCCAGCATTTAAATGTGAATAAATCTTTTGTGTCTCGTACCATCGCTCGTTACCGTAATACTGGTAGCGTGGCCAGTAGCGACGTCAAGGAAGTTGGCGGAAGAAAACAGCAACATCAGCAGAAATGGTTCAAAAAGTAAAAAAGCATCGCAGTGGCCGAAAAATGGCTCGTGAACTGAACATATCGCAATATTCCATTCGGCAAATATTGAAAAATGAGCTCGGGGTAAAGCCATTGAAATTCCAAAGAGTGCAAGAACTTACACCGCAACAGAAAGAAAATAGACTCAAAAGAGCTAAAGAGTTGCTTCGCTTGGCCAAAAGTGGTGAATTGCTGAATTAGGTTTTCTCCGATGAGAAAACATTCGTGGTCCTGCAGTTTTTAAACAAATCGTGATCGTGTTTACTTGCCAAAGAGGTCAGCTGAAAATGTGCACCTTCGGTTGGCCAACAGAACTCAAGCGCCATGGTTGTTGTCGTTGTTGTAGCAGTAGTACATGCAAGTGTTTACGTTACGCTTATCTTTTTCCAGCTCCAGGTTTAGAAATTCGGCTACTTTGATGGCCTATAGCTAGAGATCTTCTGGAGTGGGTTGGGTAGGATTGGCTGTGCAATTAAAGAGGTGTAGCGTATTGTGCGGTCCTGTCTTCATCAATTTATGCCCAATGCGAATTGAGACGACTACACCATCCTGAACGTAATTGCGCCGAAACTACCCTGGTTTGTCTAGGCCGGTCATGATGATGGTGTGGGCCGCCATAACAGCCGATGGTATTAATCTGCCGTGGCATCAGAATAAATGCCGCACCATCGCACTCAGACGCGCCACCCCAGAATGGTTATAAAATGAGGTTCCTCGCTTCATTTCCAGTGCACAATGGCCACCAAAATCTCCGGATACCAATCCGTGAGACTATTGTGTCTGGAGTGTATTTTGGAAAGCAAGGTTGGCACTGAAAATTACCAAAATGTCGATCACCTCAAGCAAGCGCTTCGCCGAGAATGGGCCAAAATACCGCAGAGCAACATTCGGGCAGCGTGTGACGGTTTCATTAGCCGTTTGAATTCCATAATTCGTGACAAAGGTGACCAATTCGAACAAATCTAAACTTATTCTAAAGTTTGATGCTATTTCCGACAAATTAAAAAAATGTATAAATTATGGCATTTGACTTTGTTGCAGTTTTTTATCTCACCCTGTATGGGGTTGTGAACAAAAATTCGTTCAACATGACCCGATAACGTAACGTAACGTAATTATCAAACTTAGATTGGATCTCGGAGATGGACAATTTTGGTTAACTGCTTCTGGTACATCCCCCTCAAAGAGTCAAAATATTGAAAATATAACGGTGCGATAAAATGTATTTTTTCGATAATCATGGGGGATATCCAGCAGATTGTGAAAGTAGAATTAAAAACAAAAGACACTTGAAACGGAGTTAACATTACAAAGTAAGCAAAAATAGGGGGTAAGTTCCCTCTTCTTCCACAGTTTTGGAAATGTTCGAATTAAGATTCCTTGGAATTCTTACATTTTATATAGTCTCTTCGGCAATATTGCGGATAAAAACATAAAGAATTGTTTTGGTGCATTATTAACCCTCAAGCGGGTCATCAAAGGGGTATTTTTAGTCCTTTTTTTAAAAATAGTTAAAAACTCCCTTTAAACGGGATACTAGTAAGTAAATATCCTACAAAAGGATTTATCATAAAATTCTACTATAGGTCCTAGAAGGCATCAAAAGTCTAAATCTTACCCAAACGTCAGGAATTCACAAATATTAAAAACATATTTTAAGTATTAAAGGAAGCCGTACTTTATGTGAGTTAATGCATAATTCTCCTACAAAACATTATTTTATAATGATGACGTCAAAGACTAAATTGTTCCTCATCAAATTTCACTATAAGTCATCTAAGGAAAGAAATCGCTATTTCCATTGCACATTGAGAATATATTTGCATCAATGTTCCCAAACCAAAAATATTTCCTCCTTTTTATACCCTCAGCCATATGGCTAGAGAGGGAGGGTATATATCATTTAAAACGGCCAAAAAGTGCCATAGGTTTCTTTGGGTCAAATCAGGGTCAATTCTGGATATTTGGAGTCGATATCGCGACCGTGTATCTGGTGCGCACTCTCGAAGAGAGTATACGATTTGATCCGAACTTGGTACATCGTAATATTATTGTCAAACTTGGATCGAGTTCGGAGATGGGCAATATCTGTCCACTCCTTCTGGTACCTTTCTCACAAAATGTCAATATTTTCCAAGAAAATAATTTACTACACAGAAAGAGAAAGGATAATCCGATTTTGCCCCAACTTTGCAAATCCCAATATTTGCATCAGTGCTAGGTCAGGTGTGAAAATGGACAATATCGGTTCACTCCATTAAGTGCTTCCCCCGCAAAGGGTCAAAATTTTGAATAATCATAACTCTTATAAAATATGATGTAAGCTTCCGATTGTCCTCAAATTACACACATCACAATATCTTTATTGACCCAAGGTCTGGTGTGAAGATATGGTACCTCCCCCAACAAAGAGTCAAAATATTGAATCTTTACGAAGCTCATAAAACACGAAATTAACCACTGATTCCAATCAGACTTAGCACATCTCAATATTTCCATCAACGCAAGATCTGTTATAAAGATGATAGAGACCGGACCAATCCTAATGCTACCTCTCCCACAAAGGGTTAATATTTTGAATAACCAAAACGAACATAAACTCCCAAAATAAGCATCCAGTTTTCTTCAAATTACAATATTTTCATTTACCCAAGGTCTGGTGTGAAGATGGAATATATCGGTCCACTCCTTCTGGTACCTCCCCCACAAATTATTGGCTCATTTTTTCAAAACCCACTCCATAGAGGGTCGAGTTTGAATAATAATAAGAGAAGTCAAAATATTTTTAAATAATCGAACATTGGCTGAGGGTATACATCTGTCTATTCACATTGCCTCCTTCCTCGAGAGTGTGGGCTTGTCAGTATTTTGGGTCGCTAGGACTATTCAGGTCGTCTTTTTGGGACTAGAGCTCGAGGCCTTGACTACCGTAGTATCCATGTCTTCGTCCTAGTCAGTGTCTGCTTCGTCCTGTTAGGGGTAGCAGACCGATTGCGTTTTTAAGATCATTTTTGTTCAGATGGAGGTAAACTTCGCACTTGTACTTTTGTTGAGGGTGTGCGCTAAGGTGTACATATCCGTTTTTATACCCTCCACCATACTATGGAGGGTATATTAATTTTGTCATTCCGTTTGTAACTCCTCGAAATACTCATGTCAGACCCAACAAAGTATATATATTCTTGATCAGCGTAAAATTCTAAGACGATTTAGCCATGTCCGTCTGTCTGTCTGTGTGTCTGTCTGTCTGTCTGTCTGTCTGTCTGTCTGTCTGTCCGTCTGTCTGTCTGTTGTAATCACGCTATCTTTCGAACAAATGGAGATAGAAGGCTAAAATTTTGCACACATGTATATTTTGCCAGTAGGCAGGTTAAGTTCGTAAATGGGCCATGTAGGTCCAAGTTCTCATATAGCCCCCATATAACGGTACCTCCCGATATTCGGTATTTTGATGATTTTACCGACATTATTCACCGGAATTGTTTCAAATTTGGCATTTGAAGTTCGTAATAGATACTAAAACCTAAGACAGAAAATTATCTGTGCAGGTCCACGCCTTCGTGTAGCCCCCATATAACGGTACCCCCCGATATTCGGTATTTTGATTATTTTAGCGACATTGTTTACCGGAATCGTTTCAAATTTGGTATTTGATGTTCGTAACGGATATTACATCCTAAGTCAAAAAATGAGCCATGTAGGTCCACGTCTTCATATAGCCCCCATATAACAATACCCCCCGATATTCGGTATTTTGATGTTTTTAGCGACATTATTTAACGGAATCGTTCCAAATTTGGTATTTGAAGTTCGTAATAGATACTGCAGCATAAAACAGAAAATGGGCCATGTAGGTCCACGTCTTCGTATAGCCCCCATATACCGTACCCCCCGATATTCGGTATTTTGATGATTTTAGCTACATTATAAACAGATTTTTCTTCAAGTTTCGCATTTAAATATTGTAATAACTTATGACAAAAGTTGCCTATGCAGGTCCACGTCGTCGTATAAGCATTCGGTATTTTTAAAATTTTAGCAGAATTTTTAACGGATTTTATTTATTTATTTTTTTTTTTTTTTGAAATTGCCAAATTTGTACCAAATGGTGGATGGTATTAAAAGTTCGGCCCGGCCGAACTTACTGCTTTTTTACTTGTTTTTGAAATAGGAATGGTTTTTAGAGGGAGAGGTCTTGTAAGGGGACTGGGGTCAACCATGACATAGCCTCCTAAACCTAAAATTCTTTGAGTGGCCCAGTGTCAACGCAGCTGCGTTAGAATACAGACGGTAAACTGACTGCAAACCTGTAACACTGAGGGACACATGCACCACAACAAATGTTTGGCTATTTTAGGGACGCCGAAACAGGGCTTCGTCAGTCCAAGGATTATTCGTCCTCGGGTATTTAAATCGAAACTCTTCCACAGACCCGCTTTCTGTCCGCTATAAAATTAATAGTTTATGGTCCTGCAAATATGTAAAAAATAAGATTTTCCAATCGACGATAATGAATTCATGCTTTTAAAAATAAATCAAAATAAAGAGTTTTAAAAAATTTGATCGGTTTTAATAAAGCTTATGTTTTTTAAAAAAAATTCTGGATCAAAAATCTGAAAATTTTATTCATAAGGAATAATTCGACAGGAATTCTAATCAGAAAACACCCCCGAAAATTACCAACAAATGTCCCTACATGGCGTCGAGATAGCTTCGTATTTTCCCACTACACCGAATGCCGGACTCAACTAATCTGAATTTGTTTAAATGATAATTGTCATGTTCTAATAACAATAAAGGCAATACATTTTGAATTCGCTACACAAGTATTTAGATTACGATAAACTTCTGCTGAACATATTTCTATTTGGCATTATCGTCATTTAAAAGATTACAATCGAAATGGAAATCGGGAATGGGGTGCCATATTCAATGATTTTTGCTTGGGGGGCAGGTGGTGGCCGTACAACAATGCCAAAAATACGCCAATTCCTAGGCTATCTTTGAGAGGGAGTCTTCAAGACGAAAAAAAGAAGTACTTATATTTGTATGTATGTCTTACATATAAAACGACAAGTATGTGTCAGGGCCATGTTAGTATCGGAATTTCAGTCAAACCCTCAAAAACATAGACAAATCTAACGCTGGTTGTTTGGTTGGATCTACAATTGAAGAAAGACAACTATGTGTAAATTACAAACACTTTTCGTAATTGGATTATTTTTGTACTCGGTCCGTGCATATCCACTTGATTTAACGGCCACGGACTTGCCAAGTGGGCAATTGCAAATAAATAGCCGTATTTCCGGCGGCGATTTAGCGGCGGAAAATCAATTCCCCTATCAAGTTGGTTTGAATATCGAAACAACACAGGGCAAGTTTACATGGTGCGGTGGCAGTTTGATTTCAAACCAATGGGTATTGACCGCTGCCCATTGTGTTGAGAGGTGAGTTGGGAGATATCTAAAGTTTTTCATGGGGGAAAAATTCAACAGGAAAAATTACGAGGAAAATCCAACAGATTTTGAAAGACGCGTAGGGTTAAAAGAGAAGACGCGTATATAGGCGTTTTGAGAGTTTATATCGGAAAGTAACCCAAATAAAGGGGGAAAGTTCCCCCCTCTTCCACACCTCTTCCACTTTTCGGTTTAAGATTCTTGAGAATTCGTTGATTTTAGGATTTTTAAAGTAGGTCTAAAAAAGGAGACACGTATATCAACTTTTTGAGAGTTTATATCGGAAAGTAACCCAAATAAAGGGAGAAAGTTTCCCCCCTCTCCCACAATTTTGGAAATTTTCCTCGGAATCCGTGCATTTTTGGTATATAGTGTTGTCGGCAACATTGCAGATGAAAATACAAAGAATATTTTGGTCTAAAATTTTAACCCTCAATCGGGTCAACAAAGGGGTCTTTTTGGTCATTTTTGGAAAATGTGGTTAAAAACTTCCTTTAATAGGATCCCGTTTAAAATATTCAAAATTATTTGTCATGAATTCCATTATACGTCCGAGAAAACAACAAAAGTCTGAACTTTACCTGAACGGTAGGAATCCATAAATATTAAAAATACATTTTAGGGTTAAAGCCGCACTTCTCTTGATTTTATACAAAATTCTTCTTCAAAGTATAATTTTACAAGGATGACGTAAAACACAAAAATATTCATTATCAAATTTCACTATAAGTCACCAAAGAAAAGAAATCTCTATCCTATTATACAGGGTGAGATTAAAACTGCAACAAAGTGAACTGGCATAATTTTTACATTTTTTTTTAATTTTATTAAATCAAATTCCAAAATTCTTTAGACACAATAGTCCAACGGATGAGATGAGAAAACTGCAAATTCAGACTGCTGTTATTTCTAAGCCACTTGCCCGACAGCTGTTAAAATTACTCCAGTGACAGCTCATTATATTGTTTACAAGCGTGCAAAAGCATTTTGTTGAGAATTTTCCAGAAAAAAAGTTATTCGTGGTTCGGAACTCAAGCGTGATTTCTTTATATTTGGCTGGAAAACCACAAGTGGCTATCGTTGGAGCACTGCAGCATTTAAATGTGAATAAATCTTTTGTGTCTCGTACCATCGCTGGTTACCGTGATACTGGCAGCGTAGCCCGACGTCAAGGAAGTGTAGGGAAGAAAACAGCAACATCAGCAGAAATGGTTCGAAAAGTAAAGAAGCGACTTGATCGAAACGCGCGTTGAAGTGACCGAAAAATGGCTCGTGAGGAGAACATATCGCAATATTCCATTCGGCAAATATTGAAAAATGAGCTCGGGGTAAATTCCAAAAAGTGCAAAAACTTACACCGCAACTGAAAGAAAATAGACACAAAAGAGCTAAAGATTTGCTTCGCTTGGCCGAAGTGGTGAACTGCTGAATTTGGTTTTCTTTGATGAGAAAACATTCGTTGTCCAGTAGTTTGTAAACAAACAAAAAGAATTCAAGCACCGATCATGGTGATGGTGTGGGCCATAACATAACGCCATAACGATGGTCGCTCACCTCTGGTTTTAACATACCGTGGCATCAGAATAAATGCCGAATATTATCGCGAAAATATTCTAGAGTGTGTATTAAAGCCTTGGGCTCAACAACATTTTGGTCGCAGACCTCGGACATTCCACCGCAACAGAAAGAAAATAGACTCAAAAGAGCTAAAGAGTTCCTTCGCTTGGCCAAAAGTGGTGAACTGCTTAATTTGGTTTTCTCCGATGAGAAAACATTCGTTGTCCAGCAGTTTGTAAACAAACAAAATTATCCTTTTTACTTGCCAAAGAGGTCACCTGAACATATGCACCTTCGGTTGGCCACCAGAACTCAAGCGCCGCCCATGGTGATGGTGTGGGCCACCATAACAGCCAATGGTCGCTCTCCGCTCGTATTAATCGAACGTGGCATCAGAATAAATACCACATATTATTGCGAAACTATTCTGGAGGGTGTACTAAAGCCTTGGGCACGTAAACATTTTGGCCGCAGACCTTGGACATTCCAACAGGACTCAGCACCATCGCACTCAGCACGCGCCACCCAAGAATGGTTACAAAGTGAACTTCCTCGCTTCATTTCCAGCGCACATGGCCACCAAAATTCTCTGGATATCAATCCGTTGGACTATTGTGTCTGGAGTATTTTGGAAAGCAAGGTTGGCACTAAAAAATACCAAAGTGTCGATTACTTCAAGCAAGCGCTTCGCCGGGAATGGTCCAAAATATCGCAGAGCAAAATTCGGTAGCGTCTGACGGTTTCACTGGCCGTTTGAAGGCCATAATTCGTGCCAAAGGTGACTAATTCGAACAAATCTAAACTTATTTTAAAATGTGATGCTATTTCCGGATATTTTTTTTGCTTTCATTCAAAAAAATTAAGAAAAGGTAAAAATTATGGCGTTTGACTTTGTTGCAGTTTTTTTGTATCTCACCCTGTAAAGAAACTATACCAAGAAGTGGATAGACATTAAACAGAAAAACAGATTCTAAAAGTAATTCAGAGTTAGATTTTCATAGCTATATTTGGATTTTGCGAAAGTATATCTCAAAATATTTTTGGGTCGCTCAAAATGTTGACCCCTTGTGTGGGAGATACCAGAAGGAGTCAAGCGATATAGCAGGAGTGGACTGATATTGCCCGTTTCCGAACTTGATCTAAGTTTTACAATAATATTACAATGTACCAAGTTTGGATCAAATCGGATACTCCGTTCGAGAGTTATCGTGCGCACGAGACAGCCAGACAGACTGACATCGCCAGATCGACTTCAAATGTCCTGAAACGGATTTGGCCCAAAGAAAACCGTTATTTCGATGAGGCACGTTTTGGCTGAGGCTATAAAAAGGACCAAAAATACCAGTTTGGTCACTCGCTTGAGTATTAAAAGTTTGCACCAAAATGATCCTCCAGCTTTTATCTGCAATGTTGCCGAAGACACTATATACCTAAAGTCAACGGATTTCAAGGAATCTTAATCCGAAAATTGCCAAAAATTGTGGAGGAGGGGGAACCTTTCGCCCTCTTTTTTTTGTTACATTACAAGGTAATCTTTCAAAACGCCAGAGCACGGGTCTCCTCTTATTAGCTTAACTTTCATAATCCAATGGAGGTTTCCTGTAACTATGGAAAAAAGTCAGATTTTGTCGCACAGTGTTCTACTTCATTAAAAAATAACACATACTTACATAACTACATTCTATTCATTCCAGCATCACAGGTGTCATTGTCTACTTGGGATCGGTGAATCGTTTGCAGCCAAAGCAAACCTATCGGGTGGCCTTAAACGATATTCACATTCACGAACATTTCAAAATGGCATCGCTGATAAATGATATTGCCCTGTTGCGTTTGCCATCCAAGGTCAGCTACAGTGATTCGATACATCCCATAAAATTACCACGCATTTTTTCCTTCCATCCGGAATATGAATACCGGGAGGCCATCACCTCGGGATGGGGTCGTGAAAATGATGGTAGGTATTCTGAAAAATATGAGAAAAAGAAAATAATTAATTTCCATTGTCGCTTTGGTTGCAGTATCTGCTAACATAGCCTCTCATCTGAAGTATGTCGTACGCTATACGCTCACCAATGCCGAGTGTCAATTCGTTTATGGCAATTCGGTGCGTACGAGTAATATTTGCATCGATACAACGGGTGGTCAGTCTACTTGCAGCGGTGATTCCGGTGGTCCTTTGGTCATCAACGATGATTTTGATGGTCCAATACAAATTGGTTTGACTTCGTTTGGCAAATCTTCGGGCTGTACCAAAGGATATCCGGCTGTATTTACTCGCTTGACATCCTATTTGGAATGGATTTATTTGATATCGGGAGTGGCAAATTTTTAATTTCAGTTTTAAATATTTAGAATTTAAGATAGAAACATCCTTAAAAGTTTTCAAATTTGCCTTCGAAAATGGTTGAGACATTAAAGAGGGCATTGTATTTCTGTCTTACGGGCATAGCTTTTGGAAAATTTCTGGTAAATTTTGCAAAGTTTTAAAAATCTGATTTTTCTATAATTTTTTTTTTGTATTTTGTTAATTTTTTAGCTACTCATTTTGAACATGTATGCCCTTATTTTGAACCCCTGGTGGGTTGATTACTTCAAAAAAAGCTGGTTCTTTAAATAATCTCAGTTTAAAAATATCAAAAATATTCGTTTAAGTGAACAGCCAACATCTCTATTTTTGTTGAAATTTATATTAAATTTATATGAATTGCTCGTTTTTAACAGAAGTGCTGGTCACTTGAACCTTTTGTGTTTTTTTCGGAAAAAGTGTAATTTTGTCATGTAAAATAATAAATGAAATTTTGAATTTTAAAAATCAAAATTGTTTTTCTTTTGTTGATGAGTTTTGTTACTGAATGAAGTCTACAAATGGGTTTTTTTATACCCTCAGCCATATGGCTATAGAGGGTATATATCATTTGATATGGCCGAAACGTTTCTTATCGAAATAACGGTTTTAGACCCTAGGTCTCTTTGGACCAAATCCGTAACAGGACAGTTGGAGTCGATCTAGCGATGTCCGTCCGATTTGATCCAAACTTGGTACATCGTAATATTATTGTCAAACTTAGATCGAGTTCGGAGATGGGCAATATCGGTCCACTCCTTTGGGGATCTCCCCCAAAAATGTAAAAATTTTCAAAGAAAATATTTTTTTGCACAGAAAGAGAAAAGGATAATCCGATTTTGCTCCAACCTTGCAAATGATAATATTTGTATCAGTGCTAGGTTGGGTGCGAAAATGGACACTATCGGTCCACTCCATCATGTACCTCCCCCACAAAGGTCAAAATTTCAAATAATTATAACTCTTATATAATGTGATGTAAGAGTCCGATTGTCTTCAAATTATACACATCACAATATTTTTTATTAAACCAAGGTCTGGTGTTAAGATGGATTACATCGATCTACTCCTTCTGGTACCTTCCCCATAAAGGGTCAACATTTTGAATATTCATTAAGCACATAAAATACGAAATTACTATCAGATTCCATTCAGATTTGGTATATCTCAATATTTCCGTCAACACAAGATCTGTTATGAAGATGGTAGAGATCGGACCATTCCTTCTGGTACCTTCCCTACAAAGGGTTAAAATTTTGAATAACCAAAAATATTATAAAATCCGAAATAAGCCTCTAATTCTCTTCAAAGGGTCAACATAAATGTCCGATCGCCTTCAAATTACACACATCACAATATTTTTATTAAACCAAGGTCTGGTGTGAAGATGGAATATATCTGTCCACTGCTTCTGGTACTTCAAACAAAGGGTCAGATTTTGAATATTCATGAAGCTTATAAAATGCAAAATCATATCCGATTCCATTGTAGACTTGGTAAATCTCAATATTTCCATCAATACAAAATCTATTATAAAGATTGTAGAGATTGGACCACTTCTTCTGGTACTAGGCCCACATAGGGCTCAAAAAAAAAAAAAAAAACGAAACGAAATAAGCGTCCAACTCTCTCTATACGACGTGCACCTACAAAGGCATTGTTTGTCATAAGCTATTACCATATTCAAATTCGATAACTTGAAATATACGGTGAATATTGTAGCTAAGATCATCAAAATATCGAATATGGGGAGGTACCGTTATATCGGAGCTGTGTGAAGGCCTGGACCAGCCAGACAATTTTCTGCCAGAGGCTGTAGCATCCATTACGAAGTTTAAATACGACGAATCAAACAATATCGGTGGGTATTGTACCTAAACTCGTACTGATATATGGGGGCTATACGAAGACTTGGACCTGCACAGTAATTTTTCTGTCTTAGGCTGTACTGTCCCTTTGGAACTTCAAATATCAAATTTGAAACAATTCCGGTGAATAATGTCGCTTAAATCATCGAATATCGGAAGGTACTGTTACATGGGGGCTATACGAAGACGTAGATCTGCACAGACAATTTCCTGTCTTAGGCTGTAGTATCCATTTTGAACTTCAAATACCAAATTTGAATAATGTAACTAAAATCATCAAAATACCGAATATCGGGGAGTACCGTTATATGGGGGCTATACGATATCGTGGACCTATATAGATAATTATCTTCCGAGGTATAAAGTACCCACTAGGGACTCCTTGTGTGGATTATCAGAAAATTCCGTTGAAAAATGTGGGTAAATCATCAAAATACCGAATATCGGGGGGGTACCGTTATATGGGGGCTATATGATATCGTGGACCTATATAGATAATTCTCTTTCAGGAGGTAAAGTGCTCACAAGGGACTCCTTGTGTGAAATTTCAGACAATTCCATTGAATTGAAATGTGGCTGAAATCATCAAAATACCGAATATCGGGGGGTACCGTTATATGGGGGCTATACGATATCGTAGACCGATATAGCCCATCTTCGAACTTGACCTGCCTGCAGACAAAAGAGATATCTGTACAAAATTTTAGCTTCCTATCTTAATTCGTTTTGACTGTAGCGTGATTACAACAGACGGACGGACAGTGCTAAATCGTCTTAGAATTTTACACTGATCAAGAATATGATTAGTACCAGAAGGGGTGTACCGATATATCCCATCTTCACAGCAGATCTTGTGTTAGTAGAAATAATGGGATGTGTGTAATTTGAGGACATCACATTCTTAAATCACATTTAATAAGAGTTATAATTTTTCAAAATTTTAACCCTTTGTGGGGGAAGCACTTCTTGCAGTGGACAGATATTGTCCATTTTCTCACCTGACCTAGCACGGTACAAATATTAAGATTTGCAAAGTTGGAGCAAAATCGGATCATCTTTTCTCTTTTTGTGCAGTATTTTTTTTTTTCTTTAATGTCGACATTTTGTGGGGGAGGTACCAGAAGAAGTGGACCGATATTGCCCATCTCCGAGCTCGATCTAAGTTTGACAAAAATATTACGATGTACAAAGTTTGGACCAAATGAGATACTCCCTTCGAGAGTTTTCGTGCGCACCAGCCAGACAGACGGACATCACTAGATCGAATCCAAATGTCCTGAAACGGATTTGGTCCAAAGAGACATAGGGTCTAAAGCCCTTATTTCGATGAGAAATGTTTTGCCTCTATCAAATGATATATACCCTCTGTAGCCATATGGCTGAGGGTATAATAAAATAAAAAATATTTTCGGTAGGTGACGTATAGTGAAATTTGATAAGGAATATTTTTGTCTTTGACCTCAATCTTCAAAAAATACAGTTTTGTGGGAGATTTTTGCCTAAACTCACATGAAGTACGGGTTTAATCCTTAAATTAGTTTTTAATATATATCAATTCCTGGCGTTTAGGTAATATTTAGATTTCTGAGGTCTTCTGGGACTTATAGTAGAATTTTTTGAAAAATAAATTTGTAGAATATTTTGACCTGCTACAATCCCATTTAAAGGAAGTTTTTGGCCATATTTCCAAAAACATGATCTAAAAGACTCGCTTGTGGTTTAATATTTTTTACCAATATAATCCCGGTATTGTTATCAGTAATAATATGGGTCTTCCATTTTTAGTTCTATTTTCAAAATCTACTGGACATTTCCTGTAGTTATTGAAAAAATCAAAATTTTGCACAAAGTGTACTTTATACATAAAAGATTTCGAGATGTTCTATCTGCAGAAGACATATTCTATTCTACAAGATTTCAGGTTGTTCTTCCCAAAGACATTTCAAAATATTCTATTCAAACAGGACCTATAACTGGGATCCAATAAAACATGTTTGACCTTTTTATTTGTAGAGGAGTTATAGATATTTTATCTGTAGAGAACATCACCCATGTTTTTAATCTGTATAAAATTTCACTCAAACAGAAGACCGATTAGCTTTTACATTTTCTAGTTAAAGTACATACTGTACCCTTGATCCTTTCTGGGAGATCTTTAAAAGAACTGGTGGTGGTGTAGCTTAATAGTCTGTCAATGATCGAGTCATCAGACCTTATTTTTTAGTACAAATTTCTATGCCAGTAAAATTAAGAATTTATTTTGATAAAGCATACCTTTAGGCGAATTCTATCTGTTATACTTTCAGTATAACATTTTCAAGTGGACAGTAGTAAATGTTATAGGTATAGGTTTATTTGGAATATTTTGCTAAGAAACCCGGAATAGACCCAGAATCACTTTCTGAGTTGATTTATGCATGTCAGTTCGTCTGTCCGTCCGTCCGTCTGTCCATGTATTCTTGTGAATAAAATGCAGGTCGCATTTATTATCCGATTGAGATGAAATTTTGCATAAATCATTTGTTTCGCCCAAGGACAAACCCTATTGAAATTGGAGATAATCGGTAAAAATTTAGATATAGCTCCCATATAAATCTTCGTCCGATTTGCCCTTAATTGTGCACCAAACGTGTAATATCAGCCCGAATAGAATGGAATTTTGCACATACAACTAAATTAGGCCTGAAAATAAGTATGCCAAATTTTATCGAGATCGGTTCAGATATAGCTATAGCTATATTGTTCATCCGATTTGTTATTTTTGTCTTCCGCAGCCGTAATGTACACTCTGTAACAACAATATTTGTGGAAATATATCAAATGCAGCTCAGAAATACCTTTGCTAAATTTTATCGAGATCGGTTCATATTTGGATAAAGCTCCCATATATAACATCGTCCGATTTACCTTTTATTGTGCACCAAATGTCTAATATTTGCCCAAATGGGATGGAATTAGGCACATACGACCTAATTGAGTCTAGAAGCTAGTATACCAAATTTGGTGAAGATCGGTTCAGATATAGCTATAACTCTCATATATATTGTTCACCCGATTTGTTGTATTTGTTACCCACAGCCGTAATATGCACTCAGTAACAACGGTATTCAGGGAAATATATCAAATACAGCTCAGA